GTGGGGGGCGGCTCGGGGGCGAGGTAGAGGTTTTGTGAGAAGAAATGCCGGCGCGGGAGGCAGAAGCCGGCGCTGCCCGGGGGGAAGGAAGGGGCTGCCCCGAGTCGCGCACATTTCGTCGCCGGACCCGCTTTTCTCGTGGCCGGCAGACGCTGTCATACCCGCGGCTGTAACTTCGCGTGTTTTTAATTTCCACTCTCGGGTGAATAGTAACAGCAGGTTTAGCTGCTGCTTTTACAAGGTTAACTTTGTACGCTGGAAAATCTACGTGAAAAATTGAAATAGTAAAATGATTCAGGAGCTGACGTGTTGCTCTGTCTCTTCCACAAGAGATACCCAGTAACTTTCCTCATTTTAAAAAAGTTGACAAAGAGATCATAGCCATGGTGGTTTAATGTGTAGTTTCTTTTTATATAAGGGTATTGCTTTACTTGAGGTCAGATGTGGGTATGTTTTGTCAGCACTTTTGCTCTGCTCAGATAATGTTCAGGAACTATGTAGCTCAAGCTGATAATGCAGAATTTTCATAAAGCAGGACTTCATATTGTAGCGTAAACCAAAATAAATAGAGGATGTGTGTTGTGCTATGTTTCTTGCAGTATTTGAGTTTTGTTTGTCATCTTAAGCAATAACTACAAATACACATTGCAGTAGTGAGTCAGTTCCAAGGAAAGTGTTTTGTGTCTTGGCTTTTGTTACTTTGGCATCATTTTCAATGTAGCTTTTTATCTAGCAGCACTTGATTTTCCAGTTTGAGAGGATAAAAAGAAAAAAAAAAGCTGGGAAAACATGAAACACCAGATTAAATGACAGCACCTTTGTAGAAATGTCCCTTGGGTTATGCTGTAGACATCTTTAGTATCTGTGAAAGCAGATGGTTTATCAAAATATTGGTATTTTTAAGATCTAACAACTTTTAAAATTACTTGCTGCAGTGCTGTCGTATCTCGGCAGACCAGCACTTGCTTACGCTGATGAAGTTAACATAGTGAAACTTTGATTGCTTGACCTCTGGTTGCCCAGAAAACTAGATTATTGCAAACTGTGAAGTGGATACCTGGAAATGACCAGCTGAGTAGGTAATTTTTGAACGACCACTCCAGTAGTTGATTAAATCCCTCTCTGTGGATTTAATTGAAACAACATAGTTGTTGAGTTGTTACAGGCTGTGAACGGTGGTAGTCTTTGATCTAACCTGCTTTTACAGGACTTAAGTTGGTGAAGGGAGAGACAAGAAAGAGAAAGAAGAGGGGGATGTTAATTACATCCTAAGGCATTGTCTTCTTTAACTAAATCTTCATGTTAAACTCTACACTTGGAATTTGGAGTTTTCTGGGTTTCTATATAAACACAAACACATATACATGTGACCTTATATATTGTAGTTTTATCAATATTACCCTCAAAAGCTCTGAGTAGTGGGATGAAAACTAGTCTATATACTCACTTTCCATAAATACCACTAGAATGTTACAACTTCTACAGTTTCAAACTATTGGAATTTCCCACTATTGGAATTCCACAACACTTGCCAGAATGCTGAAGAGACTTCCCAAGGTTAGAAAGCTGTAAACACTAGGAGCAGGGAAGACTGCTAGTGCCTTAAGGGAGATGAAGTCCATGCTCTAACATTATCTCGTCCCTGAATTTCTGCTACAGTGTCAAGTGGACTTTCCTAACTTGCTAGCCCACTAACAGTAGTACAGCCATTTGATTTCTGGTGGGTTTCTGCTTGACTGAATTATGCTGTGGAGCTAGAGAACTTAACTGACTGGTGAGAGGTCAGGTAAGAGGCAGTTTAGGGTAATAGCTGTCAGACTTAAGTGGCAGTTTCCTTGCCTTGGAATGAATGTGAAAAATTGCTTCTCCATAAAACCCAAATGCACCAGATACCAGGTTTTGATATATCTGTTTCGTTCTAGTTAAATCAGCTACATAACATAATCTTCACTTTTGGATACTACAGTGATGAACATCCAGTTAGAGTGGTGATAGGCAGAGAATCATTCCCAGGGGGAACAAAAAAGGACTGCATTACCCAAGGTCATTCTTTCCAAAACACACACATGAAGGATGGGGTGCAGAGTGTGTGAGCAAGTGGAAAAACAGCATCTGTTACACAGTGGAATTCCCTCTGAATGTGACAGTAGGTCATAAGGTGCATATCTTTACATGTACTTCATCGGGGTTTATTGATTTGAAGCGATCGACTACTTAACAGTCCAGATTGTTGCACTCATATGTTTGTTTGGATTTATAAAACAAGTGGGAATAGCTAGAAATTCTCATAGCCTTTGAAAAAAATATAATTGAGATTTACCTTATTTTAGTAACTTAAGGAAATCCTTTTTCGAATAAAGAATTAATTTGTTTTCAGTAAAGCATATTATGGGTGGTTTTCCCCAGCAGTCTTGAGAATAAGTGAACAGTCTGCTGTGAAAGCCAATGGACCATTAATGAGTGGGTTCAGAGAACAGTGTGCTTTTAACTTGCTTTCTTTGGTGCCAGAGAATATTCTTAAAGCAGCATTTTCACGTCCTGTCTCTTGTGCTGGCTCTAGCGCTTGTCTGACCCTTTGTGAGGCTGATTCAGTGTACAAAGTTGTCAATTTACTGTAGTGAAATACCTTGGCTTGGAAGAGTGCCGCAGGAAGATGGGCATGCCACCGCTAGTGGGTAGGTCCTGCCCGTCAGTTGAAGAGACCTGTCCTGTGCAGCTACCTGGAAGTACTCTCTAGGATAGAAGAATCACTTGTTAGGTGAAGTAGCACTTGTTCTTGTTGGTGGAAAAACCAGGGGCTCTTGATGTTTGCAGTGATATGTCGTTGCTCAATATGGCTGTGACAGAAGTACTTTCTATGTCTCTCTGTAGCGTCACTGATGTGGTACTGAATGTGTGTTTCTGTTAATTCTATGGTTTTGGCCTGCCTGAGTGAATTCGAGTCCTTCTTTTATAGATAGAAAATTATTTTTTCGTGGGAATCACTTGAATTCTATGCTTTGTGCGTAGCAACTGTTCTAATACTGAGCAAACTATAGATATGGTCTTATTGTGACTTCTACAGAAAAAAAATATTTTACTGTTTTGTATCTTTAGAACATTGTGTAGACAAACGTTGACTTTTTGAGATTTCAACTAAGAACAGAGATAGGTGATTCAAACTTGAAATTGCTTATTTTGAATCCTCTTACATCAGTACTTTAAGCTGCTATTTTTTTAGCAAAGATCTCTGATGTGTATCTGTTACGCTCTTGCAGACTTGCTGGATATTGTTGATAGAGAAATAATTAACAAAAGATAAAATCCTAAACTTAAGTCTTCTATAGAAATGGGCATTTTATGTTCATTTCTTTAATAGAATTAAATGGAGGAGTAAAGGGAAGATACCACACATCTGTCAGTAAGCAAATAAAATACTTAATTTTTATTTATATCTGGTTGTGTGTTTAAGTGATCTGAATAACTGAATGGTATTGAAATAGATATCTGTTCTTTGGAGGGAGAGATTTATGCTCATTTCTTTGTCCACAAAACATCCTGCAATCTTTAGTTGTAAGAAAATGTCAAAAATAGAGAATAAAGAAGGTGCAGGACCTATTGATTGAAACTGAAATAAGAAATAGAAAATGTCTTTCTTCTTGTGGCTGGACTGTAGACTGCTAAATTGATGGCCTTATTCCACTCAGGTAGCAAACTCACAAAATACCTATTTCTGTTTATGATGTGTTTATTTCCCTTTCATCAAGAACACCAAGGAATATCCGTGTTAGCTTCAAGAGTAGCAAAGGGTGTGTTCAGGTCATTGTTAAACATTAGTAAATTGCTTCTGCTCAGCCTCTGTTTAACTTGTTCAAATCTCAGATGGACTTTTTCCATTTCAAAGTGTTCACTTTCAGGAGGATTATCCTAAACAATCTGTATGTTGTTTTACTGGTAACTTTTTTAGGCAAAGAACACCTCTGCATATCGTCTTACTGTGTCTTATTTCCTAGAAATCTTAAAAATATAATTAGACATGGTTTGTGTTTCTTATAATGTGATCAGGCAGATAATATTCTTGTTGCTTTTTCTGGTGATCTGTCTAGTCTTTCATGTCTTGCATGAGATGAAATCCGTCTTTCATCTTCTTTCAATTGATTTTGGCTTCATTTTGCTACATAGCAAAGTTTCTAGAATTTAATTGTATAATTTGTGTTATAAATTTGAGTTCTTTAAGCAGTAGTGTAATAAGCTTTGTGTCCTTGTCAGCAGATATATGCAGAGTCTGTCGGTCTGAAGGAACTCCTGAGAAACCCCTCTATCATCCATGTGTGTGTACTGGCAGTATTAAATTTATCCATCAGGAATGGTGAGTTCTGTGTTTGTGAGTTTTTCAAATTTTTTAATATAACACGTTAACATGTCTCTAAAACCAGTATGTCTTAAGTCTTCAGGTTAACTAGTAAGTAAATCCAGTTTTCAGTGGAAATGTCTTGGGGGTTTTGATGTTTTTTACATGATGGTTCATTACACTTCACAAATAACTTAATTATGAAAAGTACTGTTAATTGTTTGTGTTTAGGACTACAGTTCTACTCATATGTCAGCTTTATGAAAACTAAGCAGAAAAATCAGTATGTTGGGGCTTTTACTGTCCACTTAGTTATGAATAAAAAGAACGTTAACCTCATAGCAAGAAATAAAAATACTTTGGTTTCGGTCATTTTGAGGTGTATGGCTGATCAGGGAAATGCTAAAATGAAAACTATAATTCTGGTCTATAGCACACATTCCTTTTGATGGTATTTTAACAACCATTTTTTCACAAATACAACAGTTCTGAATCTTAGCTGTGTATGTATGTGTCATATCTTGAAATATTTATAGGGATTGGTGTCACTAGTGGGTGTGATTTAGTGGTAATGGATGTAACTGAAGAGTCACTATTACTCAGTCAGCTTAACTTTTACTTTTTGAAACTTACTTGATGGCCTAAATGGACTTAATAAGCATGCTAATTTAAGGCCTGCCTCAATAGTACCAACATCCTGATCTATATTTGAAAATAGAGAATTGATGTGCTTTCCTTAATAGGAGGGATAAGGCAGAGAGATGTAATAGCATGTTCTAATATGATCTCTTTTTATTGCAGCTTAGTTCAGTGGCTTAAACACAGCAGAAAAGAATACTGTGAATTATGTAAACACAGATTTGCTTTCACACCAAGTAAGTACATTTTACTGGTTGGTTTTTTTTTTTAATTTCTTTGAATTTTTTGTCTTCGTATGTATGAAGTGATTACGTTTTCATTCAGCATGATAGATCCAAACTTGTGTTTTAACTTCTATATTCTTGTTGAATTGCAGTTCTTATGCATATTATTGCAGACTGGTGTGCATTGTTTAAATAATGAATGATCTGGTTCTTTCATAATCTTACGTGAGCCATAAAAGAAGTATTATTCTGTACGTCTTCTGACTGCCTCAGTCCCATTCTTTTGTTGCCAGCATTACAGCATATGGCATGTTTTCAGCCTCATTGATAAATGTGTGTGTCTGGAAATCTGAATGTTAAGGTGAAACCCCTGAAAAATTTGAATTTGAAAACCAGTTTTCAGTTACTTTTGTACTGTCCACCTGCAACACTACCATATGACTTTTGTCACTTTCAATTCATATGGTCCTGATAATTATTCCACTTGCATTTCAATCAAAATACAGTAACTACCTAGTATTACATTGCCCTTTATGTTGCAATTCAACTAAATAAGTTAGGCTACTTGTGATGAAAAATGACCGTATCTTTGTATAGTTCCCTGAGGATTCTTAATTACATTTTAACAAATAGTAGTAATAAGTGAGGTCCTTTGGTTTGGTGGCAGACTAGGCTCACTATTGCCAACTTATTCCTTGTTGAACAAGTAAAGTAGTTCTTGTGCTACATGTTTTTCTCATTATAATTACTTGTGATGATTTATTCTTTACAATTGCTGAGCTCAGTTCATGGTGCAGAAATGTAATTTAAATTTTTTTTAAACTGAGGAGTATCTGCACTGTAGAAACTGTCTTGAGATGGGAAAGATGATGAAGTTTGACTATTTTATGTGTGTGGTACAATAAAAATCAAAGCTCCTTTTTAAGATAGTAGGTCCCAGTTAGAAGAGTAGAGTGCTCATCCTCTCTCCTGCTCCCCTCTAACCCTTTTTGGGGTTTTTTTTGCTAGTTTTCTACATTGGAAGACTGAGGCGAAATAGCCAGATGATTTAGTTAAAGTATTTTCTATTGTAAAAATCCTGTAATCTACCTTCCTTCTAGATATTGAACCTCAGAATTTTCCATTTCTGCCAACAATTAAACACGTTAGACCATTTTTTAAATGATCGGTAGAAAAATGTACAGTATTAACTCTGTCTTACCACTGGAGGAGAACAGCATGTTTTACATTGATCAAAGCAATGCTTTTAGGTTATTCTTTTTAAATACTACAGAGACCTGTGCAAGAAATGTAAGAGAGGTGTCATCTGCTTGTAGGTTTTATTTGTTAAACATTTTTGTAAAGACACATAAGCTTTTCAGATGGAGAGTGATCCCCAGTTCTGGAGCTTCCTACAAGCTCATTAGCCACCTTCAAAATTGCTTTCTCCTACTAGGTCCTTTACAGAATTTTGTGTGCTGGACCAGAAGACTGCATTTCAATGATATACTTTCTTCTAAGAAGAAAGAGGACTTCCTAGTTTTGTATGGAAAAAAAAAGACAAAAGTGTATAGCATTTTCCTTAGGATATAGGAAGAAGAGTATGACAAGTCTTAAATGAAATACACTTTGTATGTGTGTTACTGCTGATACTAGAAAGCTTATTCACTGCCCTTATCGACAGAGGTGGTTCTGCAGAAGATTAATCCTTGACTGACATGGCTGTTACCAGCACAGTTTGTAATGTAGTTGCAGATTTATGGACACGTGAGAAAACATAATTGAATTACTGTGGTTTAACAAGTTAACCATTTGTTATTGGAGCCATGAAATTGATAAGCAAACCTCTTTCTTTCCTGTGTAATAGAGTACTTCCTCCACATTCAGCCTCTAGCAAGGGTCTGCTTACCTTCCTGTTACACACTGGCCACTCCCCAGACTAAGCATCCTCAGCTGATAGTGTTTTCTTCTTGGCTTCCCACATTGCACAGCATGCTTTTTTCCTACCAGGCTGCACACAGTAGTAGCATGTGTCAGGTGCCTAGCACAGATTCCTCCAGCCCTTTGTGCCCGGTGTGTCTTGTTTCGTTGTTTCTCTTGCAGCCAACATTCAGGCAGTTATGGTTTCCTTAGTTTCTCTTATCCCTCTTTATTTGGAAGACAATGTGGATTTCCAGTCTGGAAACTGGATCTTCTGCCTGTGGGAGCTGGGAAAGTGTTGCAGGTGCTGGAAAGAGAGTGACAAGGGAGAGGTGGGATTGAGGTCTCTGCCAGTCATCCAAAATCCAAAACAAAGATGGATCTGGCCTATAATCATACCAGATTTAAAGCACTTTCACATAAGTTAATTCACCATGGGATATGGTCAAATAAATGCATGTACATAATGTACATAATGTGCTTCAACGGACAGGCACTAAGTTGAGAATAATAGTGCAGTAATACCAGCAACTCCTCTTTTAGTTTAGCTTGGTTTGCTTGTTAAGGCTGTTGCTGTCATTCTGTTAAAAATGCTCCTTTGCTAGTATAATTTTTTGTCTATGGAATATTAATAAATATTCCTAGCATATATTCTTTAAGTCCTTCACAGTCTTCAGTTTCTGTAACATCTTATGACTTCTTTAGCACCTGAACTACTAGGTTAGTTACTACTTGGAAGGAAAGAGTAGAAGGCTCAGCTTGCATCTTGGCAGGAGTACAAAGGAACTGATTTTTCTTTGGAATAATAGAATCGTTCTCTAAAAATGTTTTGTCATGTAAGCAAATGACTGGATTTCCAAATGCACACTTTGGAGCTAGATTTTATATGTTTTATTATTAATTCATTTTCTGCAGTTCTTTAAGTTATGAATTAATACTACTATTTTTTAAAAAGTAGCTTTGGTCTTTTTCAGTTATGTCAATGTGCTTGTTCATTTTTAACTCATACGTTTTCCTTCTGAGTTTTTAAAGAGCAACTACTTATATTGTTTTCCTCCCCACACATGCACTTTCCTTTGTCATGTGCTAGTATGCACTTTTCTTGACGTCACACTAAACGTTCATAAGCACTGACTCATGATAGAAGGTGAGGCTGTATTTCCTATGAGAAGATAGTTTTCAAAACTTCTCTTTTCTGTACAAGGTAACATTAATATAAATATTTTCAAAAATGCAAATATAGAAGTAGATTAGCCTGATCTTTGGCTGGAGATTGGGATGGGTTCCTTCTGCTTCTTAAGCAGTTGTATTGCTGCTAAGTGATTGATACGATGTCACAAGCTTAGTTCATACAAAGATTGTAAAATGCAGGGAAGCCACATGGGTAGGATGTTCTCCAGTTTATAAATCATTATAATCTGAAACAAGCCTTTGATTCATGCATGCAAAGTTATTAATTCAAGGCTTGCGTGCACTTAGACCTTGCTGTTTTATTGTTGTAGTCCTGGTTTGTTACTATTCCTCCTCTTTCTTGTTGTTGGCTACGTTTGTTCACATTTAACTGTTAATATCAAAGTTTGTTGGATCAGGAACTATTTGTTCCTGTGAATCATTTGGACTGATTGAACTCCTAAGCTATCCTATAGCATACTGAAATTCTCCACATTAATTACTGAAGGTTGGGGTTTTTTTAATTAATCCGTAAGCCTTGATACTTTCTTGATCATCTTAAAGCCTTCTAGATATGACTAGCATATCTAGCTTAATGTGAAAGAGTTCAAGGTTCATAAATTTTAAGGCAAAGAAAAATGAGAATCATTCTGACATAACTGTAAAATACGAAGTTATATATTTCTATTTTTAAGTAATTTGTGAAAAAAACACCACTTAGCAATTGCATGTTGTTTGTAGTAACGATTTATTAAGTTCTGAACTTTCGGATCGTCAATGTTGTACAAAATGATTTCTAAAGATCTAGTTTGGAAAAGCATAAACTTCTGAAACAAAATAATACATGCTGGCACATAATTCAACATATCTGCTGCCAGTTCCAGGGTGCAGAATAAAAATGCAGTTGAGATGCAGATGAGTGTCATTTCATATGTTTTGTTAGACCTGTGGCTTGCATGATAAGGGGTGGTGTTTTTCTCCTTTTACCTTAGCAGTCTGGAGTGAAGTCTGTGTATGTCTCAAGAATGTAAAATGGAAACATAGAATGGTTTAAGTTAGAGTCTTTTGAAGTTCTAGTCCAACCTAAAGAATAACTTACAACCCCTGTTTTACCAAACCAGTGCTTTAACCCATGAACTATAAAACACATGGTTTTTACCAGTTAGTAACATAGTCGTCTTTTGTGATCTGTATACAAGGATAATTGAGGTGGTGTATAAATGGCTTGTAAGTGTAGTAGTAAATAGAATGTCTATGGGTAAGAGACCTTGTAAGTGTGGAGATTCTGTGGAGTAGGCTGTTTTTATGACAGTTTTACCTAATCAAAGGTTTCTTCCACACTAGGTAATGCACCTGATTAGGTTATGGGCAAATAAATAGGCTGACTTGCATGGGGAAAGAGTGAGAAATGAAATAGGATACAGTTGCATTGTGACAGTTGTGGAGAAAAATAAGACTTATAACAGAATTTGAGCCTTCATAATAAATAGTGGTAGGGGTTTTTTGATACAGCATATGTCAGAAGGCTGTTGCTTTTCTAGCGTCTTTCTGCAGCTCTGCTTCCTTCAGTGAAGAGTAAGACTATAGGAAGGGACTTGTGGAAAGCATGAAATCTGTAGGTAGAACATAAACTGGGGAAATACGTTTGGGATCTTTATTTCCTTCTAGGGGGGAGATTTGCATTTTTAAAATGCTACTGGACGGTGACATGAAAACAACAGAAAGTTATCCATAGTATTTTATACTAGTTCATAATGATCATATATCTGACTTCTCTGCAAATGTTTTCATGCTTCAAAAGTATGCACTTTTTACCTCGTGGCAGAACTGGCCATAAATGGGGGAGATACACATATTTAAACCTGCACAACCTGTCCTTATTCCTTGGGAGTAAGCCCTTAGGAGACAGGAAAAGTCTTGGATGGTTGTTTTGTGATCAGTTACACATTATTTGGAGGAACTGGTAAATAATGCAGCAAAGTGATTTCTCAAACTGAGTTATGAGAGATTACTGGGATGGGAATTGAGGAATGGAGGAAAGATGAGAAGGACACGTGTGTGAAAGGGAATGAAGAGGATGTATACCATGGAGACAGGGGTCAAAGTCTCAGGCCTTATAGTGGTAGTGGGGAGTAGATAAAAGGGGGTGGCATGTGGAGAGAAAATGGCAATAGATGACAGACACAAGTGAGGGGGATTAGTTATGAAAATCACTGGCAGCAAGCTTCAGTGCTGCAATATGCTTGCACATCAGGGGTTCATGTCATGCTAGGAGTTTTTGCATTTCACCCACACGAATGCTGTAGGACATAGAAGGACCTTATCATCCTGGTATAAAGCTTCTAGTGGTGGAAGCTTAATATACTTTGAGGTGTGGCAAAGCAGAGAAAAAACAGCAGTCTTGCCCTGCCCCCAGCTCTTGAAATCATCAAAAATCACCAAACTATTAAAATTTGAGTAATGTAGCTTGTCTTCTGAGTAGTAGCTACATTGGACGTTTATTTGAATGCTCAGCTGTAATCCTAAAGCTGTTAGAAAAACAAGCATGTAGAGGTGATAACATTTATTACTACTTCAGCTTCACTGAGTTAGGATGGGCATCCTTTTTTACAGTCCCCTGTGTGAGTGTTCAGTAATTCCTGAAAGATGCATTTTTAAAAAAACTTTAAATCTGCCCCTAACAAATCATTAATGTAAAGTTAATGTTTTCCTTGTAGCCTCTGTTGCAGTTCCAAAGTTTTGATGAAAATACGTTTTCTGAAAATGAAAAATAAGCCTCAAGATATCTGCTTAGTTCAGTTTTGTTTGAGTGATACCATAAATGTATAACAAATATACTCTATGTAGGTATTCTTGTAGCACCCTTAACAAAGGTCTGCTTGTCTCCTCTGATAATTTTCCAGACTATTTGTTCAGCGTGAGCTGAGAGATCATTACAAAGTCTTCAGTTGGCATTTCCTATGGTACTACCAAATTGTATACTAAATCTGGTTTTGTAATAAGAAAATTATAAGTTGGCAGACAGTGTCAAAATATGTTTGTGTCCTGCTTTCAATTTACTGCTTTATGTTCTCACAACTACACTTCCCTAGTGCTGTATTTTCATAGATTTTTTTTTTTTTTTAGGAATTCAAGTTCTTTGCCAGGTAGCAGACAACTAAGAACCTCTGAAAATTAAAACCAGTTACTATTTGTCTTACCATTACTGTTTTGTTGTTACTTTGTGTCAATGCGATCCACTTGTTGAAATGCACCAAATTCCACCCTCTTTTGGCTACTTGTGCATGTTGATACTGCTTTTCTATGTTCTTGAGTTCTCTTCACAATACAGAAACTTAGGGAAATAACCCTGGAGAGCCTTTTTTTCTCCTGTAGAGGCTTCCTCTCTGAGATTAGTAAAAGGATGATTAGGAATGTAGGTAAGGTAGCAGGGATGTTCATTAGAGAAAAGGGGGGATGCAGGTGAATTGTATGAAGCAGTATTTCTCAGGCTTCTAAGTCAAAGGATTGTCCATGAGAGGAAAGCAAAACTTTTCTCGAGTAGTCCTTATGAAAAAATTAATTTCCTTATGTACTTAAAATATGTGGTATTTTTTAAAATAGTCCATTAATTGTGTTAAAGTCTTCAAGCTCAGCTGTTTCCAACATAACTTTTAAACATCCAGGCAGCGATGTTTTTGTGCAACTCCTAGCTGTAGTTTATCTTCATTTGAATCTATTATCGATACTGTGCATTACTACTTCACAACATACATGTGAGTGTGTAGAAGCTAACTAAATGCCATGAAATTGTTGTAAATGATTAGAAAACATCTCTAAAAGAAGCAGCCATGTCACTGTTTTTCTTGGCTTTTGAGAAGGGACAGGTTTATGTGATATATAGGTGTGAAATTTAAAAAGTCAAGAAAATTTACTACTATGAAAATATCTATACAGGCTGAGAGAATTGCATTATGTTTTGTAGCAGGAGTGCCCTTAGAAATCTTGTATGGTATGGAACAGATACCCATTGAAAGTAGAAGTCATTCTGTATAAATTTCAATGTCTGTAGATACTTAAGTTTCCTTCAGTTTTCCTGTCTGTGTGGTGCTCTCATTTTGCTGATTATTTTTTTTTTGTGCTGTTAAATAGCAAGTGGTATCTAAATTATCTAGCAAATTGACAGTGTGCAAAATTAATAAGTGCTCTTGTTCCTTGTGCTCTTTCCTTGAACTAGGTTTATAAATAACAGACAGGGATATCTTTGAGGTAGTGCTGAGTGGGAGGGCTGTTGAATTTAGAATCTGCTTTTCTTTGCAGGCTTGAGTTTATTTTGAGATAATCAGAGTTTGCAGTTGATAAATAAAGCTATTAAGAAAACTTCACTAAGTCAAAAACTAGTATGGTGTTTATTAATTTTTGCCATTCCACTCAGTACACAATGTAACATGTGTTAAAGGGTTTTTTTATTTGTTTGGTGTAATACCTTGGAAATCTATAAAATATGCTTATTCTTCTATTCTTGCCAAATACAAGCATTTTGTAGTTGCCAGGACTTTTACATAAATGCTTCTTTAGAAGAACAACTGTTTCATAAGTGCCTTTTCTACACAGTTTATTCCCCAGATATGCCTTCACGGCTTCCAATCCAAGACATCTTTGCTGGACTGGTTACAAGTATTGGCACAGCAATACGATACTGGTTTCATTATACACTTGTGGCCTTTGCATGGTTGGGAGTAGTACCTCTTACTGCATGTAAGTATTAATTTTTTTTACTGTAATACTCTTATACACAGGGAAACACGCTTCTTCCTGCAACAAAGTTTTATGAGACCATGGTTAGTTTATTAAAAAAAAATAAAATACATTATTTCACTTATTTTCCCTCGGAAAATAACTCAGAAATTTTCACTAGCTATTTGACTCTTAAGCCAGTGGCGCAGTGCAGGAAGGTGGTAGGAGACAGAGAAAACGCTTAAAAGGGCTTTTAAACTTCTTATACCAGTAAAATGCGTCTTTTCAATTATCTTCCTTAAAATCTGTATGGAAGTTTTTATTTGATACTGTATATTAATATTAGGATAGAAGAATTGTCCTGTTTTTTCTAAGCCATCTATAAATCAAAGTGCAATATTTTGTTTAGTATATAAAGTTAAATTCCTTTGCAGTCATACATAAAGTGATTAATAAAATACCTCTTAAAAAGTCTTAAACAGAGGTCTGTAAGTAGTAAAGGAATTGAACAGAAAAAGAGTGCACATTTGAATTACTGCAGTATCTAGTTTGAAATTCACTTTTCAGATACAAATGGAAGGCAAACTATTGATGTTCCAACAAGCTAAACATATAAAGATGAAAAAAGGTAAAAAGGATATAGTGTTCAGTCAAGGAAATGATTGGAAGTGCATCTTTGCAAGCAATAATATACCCCTTGAACAAAAGAGCAGGGAGCCAGTAAATGCATCTCCCTAGACAGTTTCTCAATATATTCTGTGCTTTTATTTGGAGCTGGCACTGGCTTAGTTTGAGAATAGCACAATACTGGCATCAGCTATAAAAGAGTGATCCAGTTTCTGCAGCTTGTCCTTCCTGTGCAAGGAAAAGAGATTTTCTGGGCATGGAGCAAGCAAACTGAAGCATTAAAACTAAAAATATTTCAAGTTTTTCCTGGGTTTTTAGACAAATGTTGGTTTCCGACTGTTGTCTTTCAAAATGCAAATTTTGTACATTTTTCTTACTAAAGCTTCTGAAGGACAGCAAAATAATATTCAATAGATCAATTAAGGTAATTATGTTTCGTAACTGTCCGTAAACCTGATGCTGGCTCTTGAGTAATACTGAAATGTTATCAGAAGTCACAACCTACAGCTTAGTTATATGAGACCTTTTCATTGCACATGTACCCCTATTCATGTATTCCTTTAAGAATTAATGCATTGTGAAGGGTAACATATTTGCACAGGAAGATACCCAACCTCATAGAGCCATTCAGTCTAACAAACCTTGAAAAAAACACTTTTGAAATTTGTCAGGATCTACCATATGGGTGTGATATTTTTTTTTTTTTTTTTTTTTTTAAATAGATCTTGTCATCTTGCATTAAACTCCTTTAACATAATCTTTCATTTTCTGTAATATTGAAATACTTTTTAATTTAGTCTTTTGCCTTCCCTGTTTCTGTCATGGCTCACATAATCGTGTGTGGCTGGCTTCACAAAGAAGTATTCCCATTATATTATATCTGGAAGAAAAATGTGCAGCATAAAAAACCCTGTCAAATATACCAAAGGAGATGCAGGGTTGAACAAATCTGTCTTCCAGATTAACATGATACTCATGCAGTTATCCCATTATGGGATAAATTCTACATTCTTTTTTGGTAATGTCACTTCTTTATTGCATACCCATCTTATGTGTTGAGTAAAAGGAATTCATCTCTTTGTGCATACCCTCAGCCTACTTCCAGCAGGCTTTGGTATTGCTATTGTTAGGATATTGTTATGCTCTTGCTATTGTTAGGACAAAGCATATTTATGTTAATGGATGAAAAGTAGGATTAATTGGGCCAACTTAATCCAAAATGGGTTTATTCTCTGTGATAATTGTATTTAGCTGTGTGGTTCCTAGAGTGAAATACCCAAGGTACCTACACAGTATGCAAGGTAAGAAAGAGGTGTACACACTGAGTAAAGTGAATGTGTACAGTGAGGCAGTAGGAAATGCTAGAGTGGGAGTTGGATTGTCTGAAGTGCCTCCTTTATCTCAGATTTTAGAAATCACTGTTCATGACCCTGATATGGCTCGTGAATGTGTTTTTCTGGACTGATTCAGTTGACCTTTTTTTACCAATAAAAGAACTCATTAAAACAGGTAATGAAATTGTGAGAGTCCTTGCTACAAGGTGTCATAATAGCAAAGGCTTATACAGGTTCAGAATATCACAGAATTGTCTAGGTTGGAAAAGACCTTGAAGATCATCCAGTCCAACCATTTACTTAACATAGACAGTTCCCAACTACACCATATCCCTAATTGAGCAAATTAATTCTGGGGGGGGGAAATCCATCAAGGATTAATTAGCACTGAGATATTATGGCACAGGAATTGAGCTGCTTTGCATGAAGCATGTGAGGATGTACTGAGGATGTATTGCTGCAAGTATATTTAACCTGTTTCCATATTCTTCCTTAGGCATCCATTGGTGTGACCAGTGCTGGAGACAGGACTAGATGAATCTTGGGTCTAACCTAGTATGGCAATTCTTATACATTGAATGCATACTTCATAAATAATGTTCAGATAAAGTAAACACAGTTTTGTTCTACATGGTTGCATATGGTCTTGAGTTCTGTTAGTTCATTGAAAGTTGAGATTTTTTTTCCCTTGTCATAAATTTAGCTAGGACACCAAGTGAAAAGAGGGTACCTATGGTCCTTTCCAAGTGAGGCTGTAACCAAAATTGGATTTATATCACACTTCTGTTTCTTCATGCAGGTCGTATCTACAAGTGCTTGTTTACTGGCTCTGTGAGCTCACTACTGACACTGCCATTAGATATTCTGTCAACGTAAGTACTTGAACAGTTTGAGATAAATAACTTTTCTAGTCAGGTTACCACCACAATGGTTGCTTTGGAACTTAGTGTCCCTTTCTTATAGACATGCTTGTTATCTTCCATCATCTTACATGAGAGGCTGCCCGTTACCCTTGTATAATTAGACGTATGGCAAACAGTATTACAGTAGAAATCATCTCACTTTGAAGTTCTGTTATGCAGGTTCCTTGGAGATGGAAAACTGGCTTTACAAAATGGGCCCTGGTTAATGAAGATTTGTATTTGATGTCAAGGAAACTTATGCTGCAAAATTAAACTTAATAATAATTTAAAAAAAAAAAACACCCTATGGTTTAAATCAGATGCCATATAGTAGAATATTAATATATGTTGCTAATAATATTAATGTCACGTTCTGTTTGCTTTGTTACATTGTTATATTTTGAATTTAATCTTATCCATAATGAGTCTGCTATGTGGTAGGGATTTCTTTTTATCAGATTGCCTTCTAGCTGACAGATTTTAATGCTCCAACCATATGCTATCAAATATTGTCTGTCTTTATCTTTTTAAAATCAATTTTAGTTAAAGAATCAGTAAATACCAACAGAACAAATTTTCAGTCTGGTTCTTACTTTTTTCATTATCTTGAACCTGAGGAACTGAAACTCAGTTTGAGTACAATCAGTAGCACATCCAGCAAATTTTGAATGAATGGCCTGCATAGTTCAGCTAAGTCATCTCAGTTGGTCTATTTGATTTAAGACATCAGATCATGTTACATTTAATTAATTTTTATTAATGAAGAGAGATACACACTTGAGATTAACAGGAAGAAAACTGTTACTATCGCCCAATAAGCATAGATTTTATTTTTCTGTGAAGAATCTGAAACAACTGAATCTAAACTACCTCTTCTCATATCTTTTAGAGTCTAGGGAGAAAATAAATGACTCGAGTGTATGTCAGATTTTAATGGCATGTGAAGCTGTTCTTTAACATGTATTTCTTTGACAGAGTCAATTTCAATAGCATCTTGTGTCATCTTTTAATTTTGGACTTCTGAGCCCCATGTTATTCACTGTGCTGTGCAGGCACAAGTGTTTGTGCAGCTGCATGGAGAGCAGACTGATACTTCTTTGGGGATGGCAGAGTACTATGATGACATATTTCTTTCTTAATTTGAAGAACATATTGTACTTGGTTAGCTTTGTGAGAAAATTCACTGTGGTCAGGGAGTAGTGCATGGGTGGAAACAAGTGGGAAAAGCGGTACCTGGAGTTAGGGATGAAGGTTGCTTAAGCTAGTGCTTAAGGACCTCTTGCATTGCGTGAAACCCTAGTTTCAGTTGGCTACCTGAACCTTGTTTTGCTACTGCTTTACAGTTATGTATGACTTGTAGATTAGGATTTTTAAAGTATAGAGATAGTCTTTGGCCCCAGTTACTATCTGACACATAGAGCAGTCAAAGGCAAACCTTGCAGTTCCATTCTTTTGGTTAGGGTAGCTCAGCAGAGATAATATTTCAGTGGACTGAATATTATGCATCTAGCCATTTAAATAGGCCTTTTACTGTAGCAAGTAATTTACTTAGCGACTATTGTGTTTTCTTCACTCTTCTTGAAGATTATTTTTCCTGAACTACTCTTGAAGCTTTTCTTCATATTGAGTCAGATCCTGTTTTGCAGGAATATTTATGTTAAACAGTAGTAATTTCACAAACCAAACCAGAGGGAAATAAAATCTTTTCCAAATCATTGTTTATCTTGGCACTTAAAATCATTTGTACACCGGTATGTATGGCCTTCCTAAAAGAAACCTTGCTTGAACAGATTAATTTTTTTTAATGAAAATTAGGTGAAGAAAGTATCTAGCTGTAGACACATAAATTAATTCAGCTTTTTTCACAAATACCAGTTTATTTGTTGATTTGAACTAGGAGGATTTGTTTGTGGTAGTTAACAATGATTAATTTTAGTCTTAGTAAAATATATTTTTCATTGGTGTTTGTTCTTTTTCCTTTCTTTAACAGGGAGAACTTACTGGCTGACTGTTTGCAGGGTTGTTTTGTGGTAACATGCACTCTGTGTGCATTTATCAGCCTTGTTTGGTTACGTGAACAGATTGTCCATGGAGGAGCTCCACAGTGGTTGGAACAAAATCAGCAACAGCCACTCAATGGTGTTGGTCAACAAAATGAGGTAAAACTTAAATGCTCAGTAGTTCATGATAAATTTAGAAAATGTGTTTTTGTGAATACTGTTGGGTTCTGACAATCTATTTAATGTTATTTTGCTGCAGGATATCTATTTGTATGTTAGCAGAAGTTGAATGTGTGTTCCTGTATAAACTCAGTGACAGCACTGTTATATTTTTTGGAGTTCTGTAAAATGGAATGTTAGTTTACTTGTTATGGTATAATGTTTGTAAAGAAATTTTTAACATTGTTTAGATCCTTATGTCTGTATCTTTACACTTTTTAAAAGGATAATTTTGTACGTATAAAGCCAAATTGTCATCCATAATCAATGAAGATGCAGCTTGCTTTTATTTTGTCTTTTTCATAAGTATTTCAGTTAGTTCATGAGGTAACAATTTACTGTTCTCAAAGTAGTTGAAGATTTTCTTGAAACCTCTGAAGTTGGAGTTTCTCTGCCCTCCCCCCACCCTCCAACACACACATGCACCCCTTTAGTGCTTACAGGATCCTCTTGGGCAGGAGGAGATGTGATATAAGCAATACATGCATGGGGGGAATAATTAAAATTCTGTTTTTCTTTTGTAATAAATGTCAATTTTTTAAAGACAGTTAGAGGTTCTCAGCTTGACGACTGACTTGGCTTGTCCTTGAATTATCGTCTTTCTAATACAATGATAGCTTTCATAAAGTCAAGAGAGTTCCCCTCTATTGAGCACTAGTGAGGCTACATCTGGAGTGCTGTATTCAGTTCTAGGCTCTGCCAGTACAGGAGCGACATGGACATAGTGGAGTGAGTGCAGTGAAGGGCCACCAAATGATTGAAGCACTGAAGCCTCTGACATACTGAGAGGCTGAGAGAACTGGAACTGACCAGCCTGGAGATGAGAAGGCTCAGGGTAGACATCAGTGTGTATAAATGCCTGATGGAAGGATGTAAAGAAGACCTCGCCAGAGTCATCTTGGTAGTATTGAGTGACAGGCAGGACAACAGGCAGTAGGCTCAAATTAAAAATATATAAAATTCCATTTAGGAAAAAAGAAGTGGTTTGGGTTTTTTACTGTAAGTGTGATCAACTACTGGAACAGGTTGCTTAGAGAGGTTGTGAATTTTCCATCTCTAGAATTACTCAAAAGCCAACTGGAAACAGCACTGAGCAACCTGCTGTAGCTGACCCTGCTTTGGGAGTGAGTCGGTTGACTAGACTGTATCTCTAGAGGCCCCTTCCAACCTCTTCCTCATTTAAATGTTTCTCTTCTTTATTTAAAAGGTTTAGTGGTCCCAAATTTAACGCTTATCTAAAAAAATACATTATTAACATTAATACTATTCTTTTTTTCTATACACAGGGTAAAAGTACGGAGAGAAATTGATCAGTTTAACTGAATACTAAATCCTGTTTCTGTAGGCTCAGGCTGTTGTAAATGGAGGCGTTGAAAACGCTGTGCTTGATCAACCTGCAAACCTAGCTGCTGAGAATGTAGTTGTAGGCGAGAACCCTGAAATTCAAGAAGAACAAGTAGATGAAGAAGAGGATGATAATGAAGATGAAGAAGATGCTGTAGTAGAAGATGCAGCAGATGCAAACAATGGAGCACAAGGTAACAGGTGACTCAAAACAGTAATGTTCTAGTTCTTTTCAAACATAAACCACTGAAAATAGAACTTTCATAATTCAAGGAAGCTGTGTAAATTCCCACTTCAGCTAATTTATCTTGGTTTTGCAAATTTCACATGCTGCTTTTCACTACTGAAGCATTTGCTTGTTGAAAAGCTGTCAGCAGTTAATGAGTTGAATGTTAGGCCCTTAAGTCTTTTTGTTTGTTTAAAGCATAGCATGGAGTGGTTACATCTTGTTTTGGGTGGGTCTGAGCTGTAAAAATGGCTCTTGTCTCCTCAGATGACATGAACTGGAATGCTTTGGAATGGGATCGAGCAGCAGAAGAGCTTACTTGGGAGCGAGTGAGTAAGAATCACTTTATTGAATTGAATAATTCAGACTCATACTTGAAATTATTTTTAATACTGCTTGTGTTAAAATCCATTTGAGATTAGATTTGGATGCCATTGTCTAGTGTGAAAACTATCAGTGAGAGGCTGTAATTGCATTGAAATTGTAATTGAAAACAAAATTGTTTTCAGTAATGAAAAGTTATTGAAAACAAAAGTTATTCTGCTACTTGTTAACTATCAAAAATACATTTCTTTTGATTTGAAATATAGTAGCAACTTAAAACATGGCTTAGCACAGACTTTTTTTGAAGTTTTCAGCTTGGCCATGTTTAGAAATGAGTTGCAGCCTGCAATGAGGATACAAGGCCAGATTAGGAGTACATAGGTGTTGTGTTATATATAGTTTAATGATTTTTTTTTTTTTATTTTTTTTTTTTTTTTTTGTAATTAAAGCATTAAACTAAAGCAATTAAGGAAAACTTCCAGTTCTGTCTCTTACTTTATTTACAAAAGACAAATTCTGTTCCTTAAACATGATGGAACATTTTAATGTAACATTGCTTCTGTTTTGTTTATGGATCACAGATTCTATAATTAGAGCATGAGATGCATGTACACTGTAATCATAGAATAGTGTAGAAAAGAACTAGGCTTTTTTGTAGCTGTTTTAGAAGTAGCCAACATCTGAGTTCAAAGCTCACCACATGCAGCAAAATCTACCAGAAGGTAGATACAGCAGTTTCACAAGATTTACTGGCATTACTAGTGCTTATGGCAGACAGTTGTAAAGCTAGTTGCTGTATCTCTAGGCTGTGATATAGTTGTTGCCTTGATTGTAGTGTAGTAGAAATAGTTTTCATCACCAGGGAGAGGTCCTGATCTTTGTTTTGTATCTAGTGAAAACTTGTTGTTTTGTTTTGAAAGATAATAAAAAAGGGGCATATATAAATTCAGCTTTCTGAACCATTCTACTCTGTATCTCAAGCTGAAAGTGTTATATTTCTGAACCCAGTTTACTGCTGGGAAATGTTGATGTACTCCTGATTGAAAATATTTTGATGCTTCTCCACTAATATAGAAATTAGTTTTAGCAAAATCTCATAACCCTTTCCAGTTCTATGTGCTTGCATAGCCAATAGACATCTGCTTGGCATTTAATATCAAAACTGGGGTAGGTTTTTCTGCTATTTCATCTTGTGAAAATAGCATGCAAGCTTTCTGAGTTTTCACAAATATTTGTATTTTGCTTTACTTCATAAAATATGTACAGCTTCAACATCTTGGAACTTAGTGCAAAATCCTGGTACAAAGTAGCCTTGAACCTGGTACTTTACCAGTAATCATGGAGTAGGAATATCTTGATTCAAATAGTAAGAAATCCTTTAAGTGGGGGGAAAGGAGAGATTTCTTTTTTTTTTTTAATAGATGCTCTATTTTTGGCTCATCTGTGGACTCTCCTGGTAACAGCTGTGCAGTGATAGAGGATTTGTGTCCTGTCTTCCCTAGCTGTAAACCAATTCTGTTCTAAACTTAACATACAGTGTAGCAACATTATCTTGTTACTAGTTGCTTTTATACTTTGAAAGTAAAATATTAACCTTTGACTTTTCTCAGTGCAACATAAAACTAATACTTTGTAATTAGGAAGCAAACCCCCCACTTGCTCTTGTATATTAATAATGAGTTGTTTAAGCATGTTTTTAAATAAGAGTTCGACCGCTAAAATCTTTTGCAAATACAAAATCTTTGTCAGTCTTCAAAGTCTTGGAGAGAAATAGCCTATAAATTAATTGATTATATGTTTGGCTTGCCATATATAAATATATGTGTATTAAGATATTCCACATGTGTATCAGCTTTGATCAATTGAGTTTACTGTGTTGAACAAGAACTTAGATTGTATCTTCATCGTTAAGAATTTATGTCCAGGTTCTGTTGGTTGAGCAATAAAAAAAAGCTTTTGACTCATTTGAACATTAAAAGTTAGTGTGAAAGAGGCTTCTATGAGACTTATTTTAGATGAGTGTTGCTTGGTTTTTCTGATAAGTAAATTAACTTACCTTCACAGATGCTTGGACTTGATGGATCTCTGGTTTTTTTAGTAAGTAAAATCCTGCATTTCAACAATTTCTATAGAAGACTACTTTAAAAGGAAACTGTATTTTTAAAAATTACATTGTTCTATTTGAAGTCCCTATTTTCATACTATACGTATTCTTTAAAGAGACTGTCACATGATACCATGTTCAAACAGTGTTTGTTAGGAGTTTCACAGAGTGGAGTTGTGTGTGTGTGTTTGTAACATAAAAGTGGAATTTCTTAAGAGACATAGGTAACTTTGGGTCACATACTGCAACTGTAAATCAAAGTTAGACCCTTTAAAAAAACATACACTGAAAATATCTGTTCTAGCCTTAAATTTTGATCTTTATGATTAAAATAGTGTCCTTATTGAGACCTCTCTGATTTGCCCTAATGCCACAATAACACCACTAGTGAATTTTTAGTGTAGACTACATTTTAAAATGTAAGATATTAATTTATGTTTCTTGACTTCAGTTAGGGTTTGGATTTTTCTTGTTCCTCCTTGAAATTTTTCCCTTCTTGAATATGATTTTAATTGATATCAGTAGCAGATATTTTTTTAAAACTTTTCACAATAGTCAGTCTGTCTTATGAAGCACTTATAAAGATTTTTGGAACCAATTTAAAAGATGATTCTGATAATATAGCAAAGCACTCCTAAAAAGGCTATTGGCTTTTTAACACTTGTTTGTGGGTGAACCTGTGTTGATTATCTCCCTGACAAACTCTTACATATATAATGCATATCTTCTTGTGGGTTTTGTTATAATCGTTTATTTGAAACTGCTCTGCCCATCCTTCCTGTCTCTGGAGATGTCTCACTCTGACTTCAGGGTCAGGGGGAGAGAGTGTAGAGAGTCAATGGCAACAAAACTTTAACCCATCCCAGCAACATTATAGGGTATCATCTGCCAGATCACTTTTTTTTTTAGAAAGAGAAGTCATTTATAAAAATGAAAAAAGATCTGTGCTATCTTCCAGCAGTATTAATTGTATGTTATTTAATGTGTGAAAGAAATATAATTCTTAAATAAGAGTATGTTTATTAGATACTGTAGTGTATAAATGTCTTGTGTCTGAAATAAAATGTCTCATATTTTAAGGTAATATCTCATGTTTAAAATAATGTAGCTTATTATGTCATGATTGACCTAATTAAATATTAATATAAGAAAATAAAATTTCAGTGTACTTGTGGCTGAGTTTACATCTTAGTTAAAAGTAATACTAAAAAATAGAAATGTGCTGTCATTTCTAGAGTGAGAGCTGACAGTTTTGTTAATGTTTTTTAATGACAAAGTCTTAATTATTAAAAGTTCAGGTGAACATTTGCTTGTTTATAAAACAAGTATCTACATACATTTCATGTACTTATTTTTAAGTGTATAACTATTTGTATTGATTTTAAAATAAAAGGTTCTTTTACAAAATAGTGTTAAAGCAAGTACAGATGATCTTATTTAGGTAAATGTCCATGAACATAATCACATGCTTTCATAATCTGTCCTGCATGTTGGTCTTCGTGTTAGAGCAAATTTCTTGGTTCTAACATGAGATGTGCAAGTTCCAGTAATAATAGGCAGTTGAAATAAGAAGTTTAGATATAAAAGTAAAGTCACTTATTTAAATGATTGATTGTACTGTTTCCTTGTCGTCTTCCTCCCTCCTTCCCTCATACTCCTTGCAGGAACATGTCTTTTGGGTGGTATCTTTAAATACGTTGTTCATACTTGTGTTTGGTAAGTATCATTTGCTCTTAGGTTTTAAAAAGATCCTTCATTGTGAGGTGATAATGCAGGTTATTTTTAAGGCTGTTCTCTTGGTTAAAAATGAAGCTGTGATATCTAAAAATGGAACCACAAGCTAACTGGGAATATGAATAATTAATCTTTATTGCTTTTAGTTTTGTAATTTTAATTTCTTTTAAGTGAACAGGTTTAAAATAGGAAATCTACCAAAAGCTTAATAGTGTCAACCAAAGCACAGAAAATAATACTTTTTTGGAATACTGTTAAATTAAAGGACAGGCCTCCTGGAATTTAATTTATGAGCAAACACAGTACTTTCAGGAATAGCTAGGATTTTTTTTTTTTCTCCTTACAGTTTTCACTAGGTATATAGTTAAATGACTTTTTCCATCAAGAATCTATTTTTGGAGGTCAAAATTGGGAGGGACGGGATACACAAGAATGTAGCTGATGCGTATGTTGTCAAATGTACTTTCATTTTGTGTCCAGAATTGCTGTGGAACAACTTTCCTTAGTTCATAAAATTAGACTTGCTTACATTTTAGAAAACAGTACATTCTAATCAGTGGTGTGTTTTTATTTTGCTTTCCTTTCTCCTTCCTGTAGATGCTGAAGCTTAACTGCAGCTTTAAATGTTTGCAAGACTCTTTCTATTTCTTGTACAAGATAGGAATGTTCTGATTCTGTGTATAATTAGCGCTAGGAAAATTTCCAGGACATAAACTTGTCAAAACATGTCAAAAAAAAAAAAAAAATCCCAAACTGTAGGTACATATTTCTCAGTCATTTCAACCCTAAAAGTAAAGGGTAAAATGCCTGCCTTATTGTAATTAGCAGTAAGATCCCTGTAGAGAGTTTCTGGAATTCCAATTTTGTATTTACTGCTTAAAAATATTTAGGGTAACTCTGCATTTCTACTCGGGTTTTACTGTAGGAAGGAGGGTAACAAATTTAGAAAATTTTTTTTTTGATCCTCCTGAGAGTCATTAGACTATGATTCAGGTTCTTTTTTTATTTTTATTTATTGTACCTTACATTTGTTGAGTGACATGGGAGAATAACAGCTCTTCCCTGTGCCTCAATTTTGCCTGTTAGCTGCTAACAGAGGCTTTTGGATTATGTTGCTTGAGCTCATTAGTGTTGTTAATTTGATGCAATTGTGTGCAGAAGCAGCAGCATCTTAGTGACAAGATAGAGCATTTTACGCACAAGAAGAGATACTGGACACAAAATTTCACTTGGTCTGAATTAGTAGTTTAGAAAGGGATTGGTTAGGTTGCTTTGGTTTTTTGAGTGGTCTTTCTTGGCAGAAGAGTTTGAGATTTAAAAACTGAAGTCATACTGTAGATAAGAATTTTTTGATTACAAAGTAAAGCTCACAATACTGAAGATTTTAGCATCTAGTTATGGAAACAAATCAGCAGACCAAAAGAAAATAAAAAGAGTTATCATGTATATCTAATTCACAAAAAACTATAACTGTTCTACTAAGAGTTGTAAAATGCTTTAATTATTTTTCTGATAATTAGTCTATTTTAATCTGTAGTTATCAGAAGTTAATTAGGTCTTTTAGCTGCTATAAAATTTAGGCTTTTTTAATAAGTAGATAATAAATATGAAATCTTTAAATCCTTCATTTAAATTCAATAACAAGTGAATAATAAGAATTAATATGGTTGTCGTATAGATGTTTTCAGTAGCTCTAAGTGTGCTTTAACAAGTAAAGAGAACTGGAATGACATTCCCAAGCAAGTGAGCAGAAGATCTGGGAATTGTGCCTCTCAACCCTGTTTTTACTATCTTTCCCACTAAGTAATACTGTCTAATTTACAACTGCAAAATCTCTTGTTATTCATAATTACAGTCCTGATGAGTTCAAATGTCACAGGAGGTACTTTCTAGAAGATAAAAGAGAAGGAAGGCATTTGGAACCTTAATTACTGGTCCAGAAATTCTCCTATGATGTTTTCTTAGACAAGTTAATTAAGTTCAACTTAATTCATGTTTTTTATAACTCATTTTAGTACTCAGAGGGGTTTGTACTCCTTTGTGCTTTTTATCAAAAGGGATCTATTAGAAATTTTTAAATAAACTTATTTTAAAAAACCTGATAAATTTATGAGATTACAGTGCACAACACTGTCGAAAAGATATTGTTTATAGGAGTTGTGAGTGTGATTTTTTTCTCTGTTTTTTATCTTGCTTCTCTTCTTACTGGGCAGGAAAAGCTTATATCTGCCATTTATCTTTTATGTTTGTGCTATTCCCGGTAACTGCTGATTTATGTGAAAGGGACATAAAACTTTCTGATCATTGATTGGGGTAATATGGGTCCTGCTAAGTCTTTTCTATTTTTTTTTTACATATTGGTTATGTGGAAATGAGAAGAAGAGAGAAAATCATCAGGTTTTTCATTTGAGGGTATGTTTAGTCTGCAGTAGTCCCCAGAGTGGATTATTGTGATACAGTGAAGACACTATAGCTGAAAATAAAAGCTTGCAGTTACTGCAGCCCTTCTACTTCCTATTGACTCCCTCTACTCCTGTAGGAAAGTCATGTTGAATTCTGTAGTCCTTCATAGCTTGGTTAGAATACCACAGTGAGTTAAAACAACTACTTAATCCTGTTGCAAATACACAGGTGTCAAAAAATAGGGAAAGTGCTGTGGTTTTTAATTCATTCCACCTGAGACCTCAGCATTGGCAAGAGTGAGTTCTCAGGAACGATGACAATTCTTAGTACATTAATTTGAAGTAAAAGACCTTGCAGTTGCTCCTTATCCCTTCACTGGAGCATTGTCTTTCTCTACGTCATCTTTTCTTCCCTTTGCAAATTTCTGTAGGGCTTGCGTTTTTCACAGTATTCTTATAAGTTAAAGCATTAAAACGGAAACCTTGCTAAAACAAGTCCCATCTGACCAAGATGTAAAATGGCTACCTAAGTCTTTTAGTGCATGGGAAAAAATGAATATACAGAACTAATTCCTACAGCAGTCTGAGTCCAATGCCCCCCTAGTATGTACAACTGAGAAATTGAACTAATTTACGCACAGCAAGATGAACTAAGAAGGAAAAGACTCTCCCTTTTTCTATATAGTTTTATATTGTTGTAGTCTTTCAGTGTGAACTCTGACCTGATTTTTCACTGGTTGTAAAATTATAGCAATATAACACTTGCAAATAATTTGCACAGAAATTTTTGTTAGTTATTTTCACAAAATTGATGAGAGGTAGAATAATTGCCATGTTACAATACACATCCTGCAAATATGATCCATTTTGCAGTTTTCATGGCCTTTTTTCCCTTTCTTTCTGCTTATGTTATGCAGCATTTTGTCCGTACCATATTGGTCACTTCTCCATTGTTGGCTTGGGCTTTGAGGAATATGTAAGTACTGTTTTGTAATTTCAGAATGAAAAAACTGCCACTATTTATTTAATCACAATTTCTTTGCAGCATCCTTCCACTCTTATTCATGATTGCAGAAGTAACCTAGAGTGTATCTCTTTTTTTTTTTTTTTCCTCCTCAAACCCTTTCTAATCTATGATCAAAAATGTTCTCTCACACTTTCCCACTTCCTCCATTATTTACATTTCAGGAGAGAGGGAAACCTTTTACAAAAAATGCATACATTTTTGTTTGGTTTGGGGTTTTTTTTGTTCTTAACAGCCTTTTTTGTTCCTCATGTACAAAAAGTGTCACATGTACATTTTTAATTTCTGTACTGATTAATTTTCTTAGTTAATATTACTATTAACTATTACTAAATAGTTAATAGTAATATTAACTATGGAAAGCTAGGAGGTAGTGAGGCAGTATAAGGTGACACATTTTGTTTCATATATAGAGGTTGTTTCATGTTTGAAGAAAGTAGTTGTTAGACTTTTCCAGTAAAATGTAAACATTTTCTACTCCTGATGGAGATACCAAAAAACCAGTAGATTACTAAAATATGTAAAAACTAAAGAAACTTGTAATTCTTCTAGAAGAGTTGATATTTAGAATTTATCTTAATGACATAAAATAGAGATGTTCTCTTTAGAAGATTGATAAACTTTCCCTTTTTTTCCTCTTCCCCTCCAGGTTCAAGCTTCTCACTTTGAAGGCCTGATTACAACTATAGTTGGATATGTTCTGCTAGCGGTGACTCTTATTGTTTGTCATGTATCCTTTTGTCAGTAGTTCTCTGGTTCAGATTTTACATATGAATCATTTTTCTGGTTATATTTTTGAGGAGGCACAGGCAAGATGCAGTTGCAATTAATTTACTGGTTTGCTATGCTCTTTTGGTAAAATTAGAAGAGAAGGTCTCTTCTCTTGGATGTTTAAAAATTTTCAGTGTGACTGCATTCTTCAGAACTCTTGCACATGTTGAACAACACAAAATCATAGGTTTTTATGACTGTTTGAAGGCCTCCAAGCAGATTTTGAAGGACTGTCTGGGAAGAGCATACAACAATTGTTTTTTCCTCACTGTCCTTACTTTATTTCTGTGAGCTACATAGTTGCAGTGTAAAGAGAAATGGGATTATGAAAATATGTAAGGTACTATAGGAAATTTATTCACATCTTTTTGATCCTGTCAGATCTTTAGTGTGGATGGTTTCAGTTTCTCTTTTATGTCTCTGAACCACTGAGAGTTTGCAGCAAGGGTTTCTTTCAGGTGATAACCCTCATTATCACAGAGAAAATTAAGTAATGGCAGAGTCCTGAAAGCTAGAATGATTTGGTCTCGCGTAAAAGGTCTACATTCTAGCTGCGTGTTTGTAAAGGTACTACACCAACTTCAATTTGAAAAAAATAAACATTTTTTAGCAGTTTTCTGTTCAAGAGTACACAGAGGAGTACATCAACTTTAGACAGCACTATACCAGAATGCAGTGCAAAGGTGGTAAAACAGTGCTTGTCTCTGTTTTGCCTCTTAAAAGACAACAAAACAAATGCCCAAACTGTAATATGCATCCAGCTTTTCTTGGAAAAGGTGAGAATTCATTTCAGACTGCATGAAAAGGAAAGCTAGCATTTTAAGGTAGGCACTTGCTTACTTGTGTCAGATGTTTTCAAAGGCAGCTGTTTATTGCTTAGATTATTTATTGAGTGCTTAATTTAAGAAGGGTGGTAATATTACTTATTTAATCATTTATTTTAAATGCATGTTTGGGGGTGTTATCCAGCACATCAGATTGTGGATTTTGAAAACAGAGTCCCAATGAAACATGTACTTCCTATTTCACTTTTGTCTTTTATAAACTTTCCTGTTGCTAAAGCCACATAATATAGTATTTCATATTCATCATACTATGCGATAAAGTATTCTTCAGTGTTATTTTCTTGACAAAACTATTCAGGGTTTGGCAGCACTTGTTAAGTTCCAGCGATCACGTCGTTTATTAGGAGTTTGCTATATTGTTGTCAAGGTAATCCCTATTTTTGTGTGTGTAGCAAAAAAAGTCTCAATTTAACATTATAGTTTTCTTAGCATTTTCTGTTAAATTAGTGAGATGTTATTTTCTCTTATTTTCTTAAAGGTTTCCTTGTTAGTGGTGGTTGAAATTGGTGTGTTTCCTCTCATCTGTGGCTGGTGGCTGGATATATGCTCTTTGGTAAGAATGGAAATAAATGGAGTAAAATCTTTTTTAACAGTTAAAGGAAAAAAATTTCTGAGAAGAGGGTTGTTGAGAAGGAACTCAATAGCACTCTTCTGTTTTTATAAACACTGTGTTTCCACAGGGAAAGAGGGGTTTTAGGTACTGCTTAATGCTAATTTTGTTTGTTACTAAATACAAATTAACATGCTGTTATTAAAATAATAAGTTCCTAATCCTTTTTACTGCATTTACAAGACCACTGTGATAATGAACTTGCTTATAGGCAAACTATAACTATAGCCATCTTATGTGAAATGGTAATGACTTCATATTTTAATAGTTGTCCAATCTCTTTCTGTTTTGGACAAGATACATTCTGTGTTTGCTTGGAATTGAGAACAACAGTTTTTCTGTCCTGCAAAAAAAAAAGTGATTTATTTCAAATGGTGGAAATTAATTTCTTCTAGCCTTAGTAGAAATAGAATTTTACTTAAGGGAATTTGCTTCCATCACAGTGCCACTTTATTTGAACTTTCTGTCAGAAGAAATAAATTGATCAGAAATTAATCTGTATTTGCTGTTCTGTAAATTATTCCCTTTTTTCTAATTAAATACTATAATTATTTATGCATTAGCACAAGACAGACAATTAATTTAAAAGTCTAGCAGTATATATGACCTAGGGTAAACAAAGTGAATAAATGTGGAGGTTTGCCAAGCATTATTCATGTTTGTTTATTACTTACTTTCTAGGAGATGTTTGATGCCACTCTGAAAGATAGAGAATTGAGCTTTCAGTCTGCCCCAGGTACCACAATGTTTCTGCACTGGTTAGTTGGAATGGTTTACGTCTTTTATTTTGCATCCTTCATTCTTTTACTGAGAGAGGTAAGTCTGTAAGAACAAGACTGGTATGTAACATAGTTAGCGAAGTTTGAGTGTTGAAATGTTAGTTAAATCTTTCATGTGTGGGTATTGCTGCTACTGTGTTTTGTATGTGTATATTGAATTTCAACTTTATGCAGAAAGGGTAACACTGATACTACAGTGAGAAATGATGATCGAGAGTGTATTTTACTTAGAGATTTTTAGTTTACAAAGAGCCCTTAGACATGGGTGTTGCCTTCAAATGAATCTAAATACATTTCAGTTGTTTGATTAATATTTAAAAGTTAAATTTGTAATTTGTTACTGATTCTACTTTTCTATATTGATGCTTCTTCATTCTATTTCTGTACCATTTTGTGGAAACTTGTTCAACAAATGCCCTTGTTGTGTTTAAAACTTATTTGCTGCAGCAGTCTTATCTAAAATAAAAAAGAATACAAATATAACTTTTTCTTTATATATTGTTCTCTATTTCTTACTTCAGGTATTGAGACCTGGTGTCTTATGGTTTCTCAGGAATTTGAATGATCCAGACTTCAACCCTGTGCAGGAAATGATTCACTTGCCCATTTATAGACATCTCAGGAGGTTTATCTTATCAGTGGTAAGAACTTTTCTCAACAATTTGTTTATTTCATATGTTAGCTCACACATATGCTACCACATATTTAAGGTAAAACATTTTCACCATGGAGGTGATTAGACACTGAAACAGATTGCCAACAGATTCTATGTCTTTTGAGATAATCAAAACTCAAGTCGATGAGGTTCTGAGCAACCTCACGTAACAGCATCTGCTCAGAGTAGGGAGCTGGTGTAGTTTACTTCTAGAATGTCCCTTCTAAAACAATTTTTCTGTGGTGTCTTCTCCTTATGCAAATCACAGTAAATGTTTGTGTGTACAGAAAAGTATTTATTATTATGGATATTGTAACTTGGGTAACTTTTTCATGAAGCTCCTATTATTGCAGTAAACATTGTGTGTCCAATTCAGTTAAAGCAGTACAGCAGAGGTAGAGTGTTTTGGATTGTATTATGCTGATCTAGCCGGTGGTGTCTGTTTCCAAATTATTGTGGTAAGATATTGAAAACAGTGAAAGTTTTTTGCTTGTTTATCTGAAGTTTGCCTAGCATACAGTAAGAGAAGGCTGTTTTTGACATAAATGTCACATCAACTGTGGAAACTGACACACATGAGAAACATTATTATTTGACATACTGTATTAAACACCTAAAGTGCTTTGAGCAGTGAAAGCTCATAGAGAAATCTTAGTTCTATTAGAGAGCCCTTCAGTACATGAGAGGAGCTGACTTGTCCACCTTTCAGAGTATTTTCTCCTTAGATAATCATAATGCTTTAGCTGCTTGAAACTGTATCACAGCAGGTGGCCCAAGTAGAAGCAGCAGTGTGCTTGTGCCTAAAGGTCTCAAAGATATGTTCTCAGATTGTGCTGGAACTGGCAGTTACTTGAACTTTTGATTTGCTTAGCTAATTAATTCAGAACTTTTACTGGCCTCATGCTAGAATATGGGACCCAGAATAGCAATCATTTACAGGTTATTGTTTCAGAAACAAGTCTCACTTTTCAACTTGTGTTTCTTTCTCAATATTTTTAAGAAATTTCTTGTGCAGTACATAAACTATCACATTTCAAGAAGAATGAGATTTTATTTTTCTTCTTCATATAGTTAAACACTTTTATTTTTAGTCTCTGGTGGTGCATTTATATGAAATGTAAGAATGTGTTTAAAATATACTTAATTTTTAATCTGGTTCCTTAACGAAACAGGGTTTTATGGAAGTGCAGGATCTTCATGCACCTGATCTCTTCTACTAAATTTTGATCTTTCAGCCAATTTAAAATGTGAGCAAATAAAAACTGAAAGATCTTTTGAGGCTTCTACAAGTTGCTTGAAAACTTAGCTGCGAAGAAAAGAGAGGAAAATTAGTAATCCTGGTGCTTGGGGGAGGGGAAAGAAAGTATAACTGTCTGACATTATCCTAACTGTCAGCTGGCTAGTCAGTGCTTGTTCAGCTGTAGTCCTATTTGGTGAGGGCATCGCAGTGTATTGATCTGCCTGGGACGGAGTTAATTTTCTTCATGGTAGACCATGTCCTTCTGCACTTTGTTTAGGGGATGGAAGTGTTGCTAACACACAGCTGGTTTGGCTATGTCTGAACAGTACTTGCACAGTGTCATGGCTTTTTCTTTATCCTGCTCTGCCCTGCTCACTCACTGTTCCAGTGAATAAGCTGGGGGTTGGGAGGGTGGTATACCTGGGACAGCTGAACCAATCTGACCAAAGGGGTATCCCATACCATATCACATTGTGTGATGTTCATGGTTATGGTGTTGGTCTTCCTGATCAACTGTTAACATGTGCTAAGGCTCTGCTTTCCAGGAAGATGCTAATCATCTGTCTCCTGGTGTTAAGTAGTGACTGAATTCCAATTTGATTTGCTTGTGCACACAGCTTTTTCTTTCTCTATTAAACTATCGTTATCTCTTTCCATGAGTCTTCTTGCCTGCCTTCTATCTTCTCCCCATTCAGCCAGAGAGGGGGATGAGTGAGCAGCTGGGTAGATGTTTGGCTATTAGCCAGGGCTAACCCACCACACACAGGAAACATGTCAGAGATGGGTGGGAAACTATTTGGTTGTTTCTGCTATTCAGACTAACTTGTTTTACTTATTTGTTGCAGATTGTCTTTGGATCAATTGTACTACTCATGCTCTGGCTTCCTATACGCATCATTAAGTATCTGCTACCTAATTTTCTCCCATATAATGTTATGCTCTACAGGTAAGCACTTAATGTAAGAAAGATGTTATTTCAGTCTCTCTTTAACTAGAAAAATGTGTATTTGCACTCTCAGCATTAGTGTGGCATTGTTTGGTATGTTTTGTTTGCTTTCAATTAATCTAAACTTCATTGTTCTAGAAAAGTGAAAAGGTAGAGTATATGGATACATTATACAATTTGTCAAATAAAAAACTACTAAGAAAAATAAAAGGCATTTTGTGCTGTTTCTCTAATGGTAATTATTTGGTGTTTATATGCCCTCAAAACCCTTCAGTTTTTTGATAGTGAAGTGCTGCCATGTTTGTTTTTCACATTCATTTCTGATTATCATTGCTTCAAGAATAAAAGAATACCCATAACCGCATTTCTTTTTAATGATAGTGGTATCTTTCTGTTTCTAAATAATGTTGGTACAGCAATGATAGAAGAAAAGAGCAAATCATATTCCCTGATATAATCTTTCTCAACATTTTTTTCTTAAATTTCTTGTGCACCTAAGTGCCGAAACACTCATGAATGCTTAACCTGTGCTCAGAGTAGTATATAGGGAAAAATGTCTGCAAAACCTTAAGAATTCTTCCTGTTGATATCCAATATATTTTTTTTATTTTGGTGGTGGTAGTATGATTACTATCAGAATGGCCCTTAAGTTTGATTTACTACTCTTCCCATTGTTTCTAGTGATGCTCCAGTAAGTGAACTTTCCCTAGAGCTCCTATTGCTTCAGGTGGTGCTTCCAGCTTTACTAGAACAAGGACATACAAGACAGTGGTTGAAAGGTCTTGTACGAGCGTGGACCGTTACTGCTGGATACTTGCTGTAAGTACAGAAAGCCAAAATCAACTACAAGCATTGTGTCCAGCTTAGCTTTTTAACTTGACAGGAACATGCTTTCGGGAGAGTTATCCCAACAAGTAGCTTTAATACCTGTTTTACAGATAAATACATGATGAAAAACTTCTATAGTGATTTCCTATGGAAATACTATCTAAGTAATAGTTTTACTAACTTCTGGACTAGTCTTTGACAGGCAATTCTTTTGGTATGCTATTACAGCATTTGCTTAGTAAAGAATCTATAAAAATACAACTAATAGCTTGTTAATTTCCTATTATGTGGAAGAATGAAAGAAGTAAGTGTCAGCAGAGCATTTCCATGAATCATCTAAATAAAATTCATGTGTACTTTTTGAATTTCTTACTATAAGGGGGTGAGGAAAAATTATTTAGAACATTAAGCTGAAGAAGTGAGTGCCTTTTAAATTGGGTATTTTAAAGGTAAAAGGTCAGTCTCTAAAGAAGGATAAAACTATCTTTGCTAGCTGAAGTAAACGATTATAGGAAGTGAGTTTCTTTCATTTAGACTGCCAGGCAGAGTTCTAGCACTTAAATTATTTTTTACTTTGTATGTTGTTTGTCAAATTAGTCAAGAAAAAATTAAAGTTGACTTTGTTTCTATAAAGTTTTAAATCTAACTTCAAAGTATATTGGCATTCTCCCACCATGTTTTGCTCATTGTGGGTCATGTCAATGCAGCACTATTAGTATGAAGATTTATTCTTTGCTAAGTTATGCGTGAGACTGAGAAAAAAAAAATGAAAGACCTTTTTCTCCCACTGCAATCCAAAATATTTTTTTTTAGCTTCTCATATGGAAACTCTGCCCACCCCTGTTCCCTTAGTTTGCATTTTAGAAAGTTATTTTTTGAATGAATTTGTCCATGGTTTTTGGTAGTGCTTGAGCATGACGCAAGAAGAGAATTTTGGAGATGATGATAGAAATGGCTTTGCTTTTTGCACTCTTGCAATTAAGAGCAATTGTGAAATATCTCTTCAGCAATTTTAGTTGAGCAAAGATGAAAATCATTTCCTCTGCTTTTCTTCAAAAGCAAACTGCTGTGAAAATTATTTCATTGTCTGCCAGCAGAATACCTGCATGCATCTTAATTCTGCTAAAGCTGAGGAAAATTAACTTCTAAATATTCATATTGGGTGTTGGGCAATAAATGCCTATTAAATAAATATCTAATAGTGTGTGCAGAAAATACCAACAAAATTCTTTTTCAAGTAGATTGATTTTTCCTGGATTGATGTTCTTAGAAAGTTGTGACCAGGTTTTAAGCAATTTAGAATCTTCTTGAAAGACTGTGGTTGTACTTTCAAAAACATGTCTTCAGCAATACAGTACTGTCGTTGTCCAACTGAGGTTTAAAGCAATTGTTTCCAATAGAACGTAGCAGCAGTAAAATAAAAGCTGTCAGTTGAGCTGCCTGCTTACACAAACTGAAACATCAATGCAATTTTCCTTTTATATGCACGGCAACTTTAATACCAGATGTTATTTTTAAAGCAATCAAACAGATAAGTGATTTTTATTTGTGGCTGTATTACTACTGTTCTCATCTGCATCCACGCTACCATTTTCCTTATAAATTCTGTGTTTAGAACGACTGAGTACTTTATCAGAAAATGGTTTATTTTACTTTACCAAGATTCTGCCAGTACTCCAGTATAACTTTTGTACAACTTGTACTCATTCTGAGTAGGCCTGTCTTTCTGTAAGATTTGCATCCGTATCAGAACAAAACTGAAATTTTGATTCTTACAGGGATCTCCATTCTTACCTACTTGGTGACCAGGAAGAGAATGAAAACAATGCAAACCAGCAGCCTAACAACCAGCATGCTCGCAATAATAATGCCATTCCAGTTGTGGGAGAAGGTCTTCATGCAGCCCACCAAGCCATACTTCAACAAGGAGGACCTGTGGGTTTTCAGCCTTATCGTAGGCCTTTAAAATTCCCGCTCAGGGTAGGTATATCTAATGCATTGAGAGAAAAGGGAAAGGCATTTGAAAAATGCGTAAACTTTTTTTGTAAGAAAGATTTAGCCTCCATGTTATCAGAAGTCAAATGGTGGATCATGTTGCTTTGTGTTTGTATAGTTTGCATCTTTCTAAAAAGTAGATTTACAGTTATTCTCACATATAGCTTTTTTCAGCCTATAACTTAAGAATTTCAATTACCATTTTATTTACAGATCCCATACATGTTGTGTATTATCTATTAATTCACATCTTATTTTCCTAATGGAGAGAAATATAATAACTGCCAGCAAACAGGCAGTTCAAGGAGTGTTTCTGACAAGGCATGGCTTTCAAGAGGGCATACTTTGGTCTTGTAGCTGCAGTATATTTTAAACTATTTTGCTTTATTAAGAAATTAAATTAAGAGCTTCTCTTGCATCTGTATTAAACAGAGAGGTGTTCTAATACTTGAAAGTCCTAAATACCTATGATTAGAAGGGAAATGTTGGCAAATACTTCAAGCTCTAGAATAATATATAGGTCAAACTAGATAAATTGTTTTGTTGTCACCAGAACTCTGAGTTAATCAAATATAAACTTAAACGCAGCTCATTTACTGTGGTTTGAGGGACAACTCAAGAATGGAAGTAATGGCTAAAGTTAAACAGTGTAGTCTTGCTGCTGAAGTTCCCTTAAAATACTGAATCTGCCACAATTCTCATAACAAAGTACAAAATAAAGCACGCTTTTTTTCAGTATAAATCTCAACCTAGTAGAACTGAAGGCAAATTTTGAAAGTATTTTAGGATTTCACAACTGTTGAGCTTATGAGTGTTTGAAGTTGGAGCTTTTCTGGGGGGTGAGGGGTGGTGTTAATTCCCTCCACTGCTGTGTTTACCCTCTAAATGGCTCTCCACAGGAACACAGGAGCTGCAACATTGTTGTAGAGAAAAACAGTAGGAGTAAGTAGCTCAGAGATGAAAAGGCTGGGAAAGCAGAATGAATTTGCCCCTCTTACAGCAGCTGCTGCCATACCTCAGTTTGGTCATAATAGGAAGTCAAAGCATGCTCTGACTGAGACCAATTTAATCTAGCATAAATATGAGCTTACTGCTAAAAGGAGTGGTGCCAGTCTTTCCACAGCAGTTTCTCCTTCCCTTCTTAGCATGAATGGCTGTGCTAGAGCATACACATGATGAGCTGGAACAGGAAGCTGGTCCAGCTGAAAACTGAGGTAATATGCAGAGGGCATTAGATATGTGAAAGTTCAGATAAGACTTCATGGTGTTATTTTTAAAGAAAATGTGATACTTGTAACATTTTTACTTAGACTGAGTGAAGTTCATATGAAGTTGCTGGGATGACAGGTTAATTAGAATGAGTTCCCTGTTTGACTACTAAGGAGGTGATTAAAGTGGATTCTCACTGACATGCTGCTTTCAAGGAATGGGTGTATTAACTAAGGACTCATTAAATCCTTTCTAGAACTACCTTTGCATGGGTTGTTTTGGTTTTGTGGATGCCTCTGGATAAGGACATGTGCTGAAATAATCTCTTCTCTAGCCATTGCATAGTATAAGCTTTCAGTAATTTGGTGTGCTAACCTTGAACTGGTGACGATAACTAAGCAGTTTAATATTCAGTTGTCAAAGACACTTTCTTCTGGTCTACTTACATTCATCTGGATGTTTTAAGTTGTTCTTGGAGACTTCTACAGAATGTAGAAATAAAAGAAGATGATTTAACTGAATTTCTTTCCATTGTTTTCATCAAGATGAGCACTTGCACAGTCTGAAACACATGGTAGCTCACTGAAATGATACTGTGTCCCTGGTTCCACTTTAAACAATGAATCATTCAGGATCACTGTAGGTGCTTCAGTTGTGATTTTTGGTGTATTGATGTTGGTTCTACTTGGTTAAGTTCCTCTTATGGAAAGTATCTCCCACACAGACTTCTGCTATGGAACAACATCATATTTTAATTACTTTTTCAAATGGGATTTTAAGCATTTGAGAAGAAAAACAAAAGTTGTAAACATCTGGTCTCCTCTATGCTTTCATTAATTTTTTTCATTTTAGCCAGATTGTAAGAACCTAAAGGTAGTTTGTATTCAGTTTTTATTATGTATAAATTTTTTTCCACTAGAACTCACCCATCATGTCTATATGGATTGATCAATAAGGACTGATCCTTCATGTTATTTCAGTTACAAATAAGCATGTAAAATTATGGTTTTGATTATTTGTTTAAAAATTTAAGTACATACTGTTAATCTTGAGCAAAATAAAGGTTATTTTTAATTATTCTACATAAAAGCCTATCATCAGTTTTACTGGGTAATCTAATTCTTCCAACTCATTACATTTTTAAATAAATGTTATCTTGTGGGGACTTCCCAAAGCCTCTCCAGAACAAATGCTGATGTGTAGAATTTGTTGAATTTTCCTGCTGCTGCCTTGTCTTCCTTTAGCCTTCCTTTCACAGTTGTCAGGAGAGCCTACAAACTCTCTGGCAAGCTTTCTTTTGAGGATTTTTAGATTTTGCTACCTTATTGTTGATACTTCAAAAAAAACCCTCTATGAAATTAAATTTATCATTTCATAGACTTGGTATGTTATTTCTAAAATCCATTTTGGCTTGTCCTACTGTAATTTCACTTGCCAGAGTTCATCCAATTTCTGTTTGTTTTTTTTTTTTTTTCCCCCCCCGTGGATTTATTTCCAACTTCTGGAAATATCTTTCTGGAAGCCATTTTTATTTTACTGTTTACACTGACAACTTTGGGGAGACTTTTTTAAGTTTTATGATTAGTAGTGTGAGTTTGTGGCAAACCTTCACTTCAGTGTATCTAAATGTATCACCTTTGAGCATTTTTCCTTTTGACTACTATTTTCAATATTCTTTTAATAAATGTCCTCAATTTAGCTAGCTCTTTTCTTTTTAAATAATATTATGGTTGATTTTGGAGAGAGGAGGGCTGTCCTTGCAAGATCTTTGAGTCCAAATATATTGCAGTCACTGTCAGTGCTTTTGTGATGTGTGACTAGCTGCCTGTGAATTGTTTAGGTCCAAGTCAAGAGTTGCTGCTCTTCTTTTACATTCTCTTGCTCACTGATCTGAGAAGCAGCCATGTATAGCATTTAAAACTCCTTATCAGTTTTAGTCCTTCATGTGTTGTTTATTCCCACATGGACTGATGTTTCCCCAGCATTCCCTAAGTAGCTATTTAGACGTTATTGGTCTCAAGCAAGTCACACCACGTGTTTCTTACCACTGAGAAGCATCTTTGCCTGCAGTCCAGTTGTCAGCTACTCTGGTTTTCTTCTTTCTGTCATTTGGGATTCCTAACCCTACATAAAGTATTCTGTGTGAAAGACGGTATGTGGCTGTCACCTGGCAAGTAACTGGGTATTGTGGAATCGTCCCTTTTCACACAGGCTAAGTCTACAAAATCACAAGATGTTTTTGTTCCTTTAAGCAGTGCTGAAGATCCCAACCTAGATATGAGACTGATCTACATTATCCCTAAAACTCTCATCAAGGAAAATGTGTTACAGATTTTACTTTCTCTTAGTAATCTGTTATGATAAGGTGTTAGTTTTCCCATAGTAACCTGGCTTGTTGTATGGCTTTGATTAGTGAAGCAGAACTTCATAGCACATGGTGCTTGAGACATTCAAATATTTAAAGAATTTAAGTACGTTGGAATTCTCTGATAAGATGTAAGCCTGACTAAGGAGCCACCAGCTTTGCTGTCAGCTGCTGGTCACATAAACCCGAGGCCATCTGGAAGAACTTTATCAGCAAGGTTTTCTTATAAAACCACTGTCTTGCTTATCTGGCATACAGAGCTGAAAACCTTTCAGGATTAGTTGAGAGTCATTGTGCTGGTCAGTGCAGAAGTAGAGATTGTTTTTTTAATGTAACATAACAAAGGACTTCAGTCATTCTGGATTCAAATGTTTCTACTGTTGTGACAACTGATGTAAACTCTTAGAAGAAATACAGAATGCTGTAGGTGTGCTTCGTGTACTGTGGATAGGTTTCTTGTTCCTGAGTTATTTATCCAGTGAAACATCAGCTGGTATTTCAACATTGTAGTTTATCTGCCTTTCTAGGATGATACATTTTTTTTATATGGGTGTTTTTTTTGCTTTGGTTAAGTAACCTTCTAATAAACTGTTTATCTTTTTTCTTCTTTCAGATATTTCTTTTGATTGTTTTCATGTGCATAACATTACTGATTGCTAGTCTTATCTGCCTTACCTTACCAGGTAAGTCTGTTACTGTAAAACTGCAATTAAAAACAACTCAACATGTTGCCATGCTCAACAATGGCAGATGTTTTAAAACCATCGTTGAAGTTAAAAGAAGAGAACATGAGAAATTGTCTCATTTTTAATGGTACATCATAGAATTTTAATCATCTAAATGATAGAGATAATACCTGTATTTAAATGATAGAGATTGACATTTACTTTGTTTTGCTGTAGAATAATTCTCTTTTAAGGCTAGGGCTCCAAGTGCTGAGACAATCCTTGTGGTAGTATTGAGAGAAAGAGAGAACTAAAACTCTTGCACCTGCTTCACTGTTTAGGGAAGGAAAACATGTTGGTTGTTACCAGGCCTTGTACAGCATCATCTTTAATTTAATATCCTGAAGGCGTCATTACAACAGGTCACTATGAGGCTTTGAAGTGATATACATGCCACTATCCAAATATGTATGAATAAGTACTTCAAACAAATCAAAAGTGCTTTGAAGGTTTTTTAAATAATTTGGAATAAATTAAGATGTGAACTCCTGAGAATTTTATAACCTGACTATCATCTTACCACTGCATTTTTTTACCTCCTTGTATTAATGATCCTTAAGTCAATAATGTGTTGAGATCACTTACGAATTTTGTGATGGTTTTAATAGTAGTAAATAAAATAATTTCACTACAATACTAGTGAGTCAAAGCACTATTAAAAAATGAAATGTAGCAAATGAGTTTGCCACTTTTGCTGGAGAGCTTCAGAAGCCCCACTTTTAAGTAAGTCTTAAATTATGAGGCAGTGAAGTAACCCAAACATAGCTCATAAGATGTAAGTTCAAGCTTATGCCCTAATCCATTATTGCCTTTGCAGTTCTGAAGATTAGTGTTTAGGCTCTGAATAGTGCAGTATTCAGTGCATTGTTTTGCTGTAGTTCAGAACACATTGCTGGTGTACTAAAATTTTCCTAAAAGGAAAAACAAAATCTACATATGTATTTGGCGTCTTCTACATAACTATTTACATAGTGCTTCACACATTCATGCCTTATGGGTATAGTACCAAAATACTGTTTCATGCTGAATACTATATGTGCTGCTATTTATATTTAACAATAACTTTGGTAAGTATTTTTCAGTAGGCATCCTTCCTTAATACATCAAAAAGCATTACTCTATTTAACAGTGTTTGTGTTTTCAGTATTTGTTGGCCGATGGTTAATGTCATTTTGGACGGGGACTGCCAAAATCCATGAACTGTACACAGCTGCTTGTGGTCTTTATGTCTGTTGGCTATCTATCCGAGCAGTGACAGTGCTGGTCGCCTGGATGCCACAGGGTCGTAGAGTGATTTTTCAGAAGGTTAAAGAATGGTCTCTCATGGTGAGTCTTGTGAAAAAAAATTTACTGAATTATCAAAAAAAGTAGTTAACAAGACTTGTTTCATCTTTTGCTTGCATGTTTTACTCTGTAATGTATACTACATTTTCCTTTTCAGACTATTTTGAAGCATTTGCAGCTTCTGTTCGCATTGCATAGGCTAACTGTATTTTTGGAAGCCATTTAGCACAATGTTAAGCAGTCAGCGTAAATAACTTGGCCTATATAAACATGTGTGTTCATATAGACAAGTATGTTTTTCTGTTTTCCTTTAAAAGTTAATATGTTGCATTATAGTATCACATATGTGATGTGTCCTCAAATTTTTTTTCACATACACCTGAAAGCTTAACTATTACTCATTTAGCTACTTGACATTATCAAACAAAAAAACTAATAAAGCTGATAGATGATGAATGTGTCTCTACAAAGTAGCTTGATGCATATTTTCAGAAAGATCTGTATGAGTTGTCAGATCTTCGTGTTGTTCAAATTAATGTTTTTAAAGAAAATATCCTTTTTTATTACCAGGAGTTCAGATTCTCACCATGTCAACAAATTTATATCCCACTTTTTTATCTTGGTTTTGATGATTTCTATAGTAGATTTCTTGCCTAAGTATAGTAATTTTAAACATTCATAGCATAAACTGTATCTTGTGGTGGATATGCTTGTGTGCTTGTTGGACTATTAGAAACAGAAGAGCAACATAAGTGTGTATTCCATGTATTAGGATGTTTTCCAAATATCCGTCATTTTCATTTAAGAAAACTTAAGCTTGTTTAAGAAAATTCAGCACTAATCTTCTACTTGTCCTTTGTCCCTTCTCCTGATCATGTTAACTCAGACTAGTTTTGTGTCTGATCTTTTGGGTGATATGTGTAAGTCAAGAGAATTGTAGAAAAAAGATTCAAGTGTGGTATTCCAATTCTTTAATTTTTAAGTTGGAACTATTCCATAATGAGTGAATTCTTCAGGTTTGGATTTCACTGGAGAAAAATGGGCAGTTTTTGAATGACTCTTCTCTAATTTTCCAACATTCAAGAATGCTCAATATAGTCAAGTGCTGTTGGATAGTATTCCCTACTGATAACAGTTAGAGGTGACTTAGTAGTTTAAAACTATAGGTAGGAGACACAGTCATGCCTTTCTGTGGCAGGGACATAGAATATGACCAATCTTGAAAACTTGCATTGCAAAACTATCTATGTAATAAATTATTTCTAAGGGTGTATATGTATGAATTAAAAGTTTTGTGCAGTTTTTTTTTCTCCAACTTTATCTGCTTGTGTAGTTTGTTTTGAAATTTAAACAAAACAAATCATCTGATAAAGATGTTAATTAGATATCTTGGGTTTTTTAGATAATGAAGACATTAATAGTGGCTATACTGCTAGCTGGTGTGGTTCCACTTCTGCTTGGTCTTCTGTTTGAACTGGTCATCGTTGCACCTTTGAGAGTTCCTTTGGATCAAACACCTCTGTTCTATCCTTGGCAGGTCAGTTGCTCCCATTTTTCTGCTGTTGATACATTTCTTTACTTAGAAGTGAGGAGTATGGGAGTTCTTGTTTCATGTTGATTTGTTGCCTCAGAGCATTTTCCATAAGTATGTTGCCATGTGGCAGAGAAAATGACAGCCAGTCTGGGTGTGAGGATTATTTAAACCAAAATAATATGCTTAGGAATTTTTAAGTATGAAAAGCTGAATTTTGTGGGATGATATCAGAGGACCTTTGCATTTTAGTGATCAGATAGACACTTCTTTTCAGTAGCATAATTGTAAGTTATGTACAGAAGTTAGTATAGCTGTATGTACATATGCACAGATGTACATATTGTCTGACCCTTCTGGAAAACTTTCTGCCTACAGCTATGTAAGAAGAGGTTTAGTTGATCTTTTCTATACAAGGTTTTATTTCAGTGATGATACACACTACGAATGTAATTTTGGTAGGTTTTAGGATCATTCTGGCTTTAGGTTGAAATGTCAAATCATTATCTTTGAATACCACAATACAAAGAAGAATGTGACTGCTAATTTAATTATTCCATTATTTTATAATACGAGTATACTTTGGGGGTGTCTATTTAATTAAATGACTAATAAGTCAGGATTCATATGATTGTAGTAGTAGATGGTCATGATTTCCAAACAGTTTTGTAAAGAATTCGTAGTACTAGTGATTCTAAAAATTATTAAATTTTTCATGTTAATTCTTTAAAAGTTTGGAATTAAATATACAGAAATATTTTGTTTTCATGTGGCAGAGCTTCCTCAAAATACCAGATTAGAGGGATTTGAGACTTGTTTGAAATTAACGAGGAGCTATTGAAATTGAGAATAAGTTCCATTTTCACAAAAGAGAGTACAAGGTTTATACAAGGGTTACATGCTTGAGCAAACAGAAAGCAACTTTAATGCTGACTTTTTTTGTAACAAGTTTTTAAATTTTTTAATGTATCTGGGGTAGTAGATGTTAACAAAAGCTGTCTTTTTTAATAATTGGTTAAAGAAAAGATATTTCCCCAGCTCTTTAAGAAAGTTCACCTATGATGTCTTAACTCTTACTGTTTCTGTGGCTGTTTGTTCTGCCTTGTCAACCTATGCTTTGCATTCTATTTTTAGTGGTTTTTATTGAAGAATCTCTTACAAATGTGTGTAATACAGAAAGGGTTCACTCATGATGGGTTTACTAGAAGCCGGTCATTATATTGTGCTCTTTTAATTCTATGCCATAATAATTGTGGTATGTGTTAAAGCATACACTTTCTTCTGAATAGTGTGTTCTTCTTTTGTGAAGAGCATTGCCTTGCTTTATTTAGCTTTTCTCACATCAGGTAGGGTTTTTTGAACAATTCAAATTTAAAAGAAGAAAAAACCCTTGTTTCCTGACTTGTGTAAGCATCAGTTTCTTGTTTCTCTTCTTTTTTTAAAGGAAACAAAAGAACTTATTTCTAGGTAAACGTTACCGGTGTTAATCAGTTTGTACCAGAATGTTAGTCTGTTGCTTTAAGTAAGTGCAAAGCTTTTATTTTGTATTTGTTCCAGGTAGCTGAGTATTTTACAGATGTCAGTTAAGCTTGAGAGCAACTTTCTTAGGAGTCTCCAAAATATGTCAACTCTTATAAACAATATACTGTGTAAATAGAAAAATAATTACCTTTTCACCTATAAGGAAAAAGTTACTCTAAAAGCTTCTGGTTGTCAAACTATTTAAAATTGTTGATGCTAACAGTCCATTTTTATGAAATTAGGACTGGGCTCTTGGAGTTCTGCATGCCAAAATAATTGCTGCTGTAACACTGATGGGTCCCCAGTGGTGGCTGAAAACTGTTATTGAACAGGTAGGAAAAAAGTGTCCATGTGAATTATCTGTATAATACATTTTGAACAGTTTTTGAATGTGAGTCAGAAAACAGAGTTACTGTTGTAGTAATGGAGTAGTTGAGTAAAACTCAACTTGTCTTGTAGAATCCTTTTAAACTGTATAGCCTAATCCGTTAAGGTACACTTAACAATAACACAAAAAAAAACCACATCTGAAATCAAGGAAATGCTGCATATATGTCTGCAAGTTTATCAGCTTTATATTTAAAGTGAGAAACATCATTGTTTGTTCAAATGAATTAACATGTGTCCAAATTCTGGACACTAGTTATGTCCACCACTCAAGAACAGAGAATTGCTGCCTTCTCCAGATCTGTAGAGATTACTTGTTCATAGATAAGTGCATATGAAAGACACCATTTCCATTCCTCTTAATTATTAAGCAAGACAGAACAGCTTCTGTGAGCAGTTCTGAGTCACGTGGCCTGTTGCTTTTTTTGGCAGAAGTGTTTTCTTGATTTATAACCTTTAAGTTCTACACTTGCTGTCTCAGTGAAGTATCTAAACTGTTGGTCAGAAAGTAACTTTTCAGCCCTGCACTTTATGTAATGCCTGTAGAGCACATCATGACCTCTGTACAAAAGGTGCCTCTCTTGTTTAAGGCTAGCATATAGTCCTAGTTATTAAACTATATACTGATCACTTTAGGTGTCACACCGTAGAAATGCAGTCTCTAATTCTGCGAGTACCTTTTGAGGCATACCATGGCTCTTCTATTTTGAATGCTCTCCCTGGACTTTTTTTGTTATATACTCGCTCTCCTTGAGCCCTCCTTAGTAACGGTTACATCCAAGCTGTGAGACAGAGGCCGTTGTCTAGATGTGTGTGGTAACCATTTGAAATTGGTCTTTTCCCATGATTAGTCATGTTGAGACCATAGTAGCTGCAGAAACTCAAGAATTGTGGAGGCCCTGTCTTCAGGCACAGACTCCACATGCAGAGGCTTTGGTCTGCCGAACCAAGTGCAAAATAAGATCCTATTTTCTGCCTGTGTTACTGAATTTAATAGATTGGTTCTATAAGCATGCACAGGTTCCTTTTTCAGCAGGTTAACAGCACAAAGCTATGCCAGGTCACCTACAAAACCACCATCCACAGCTCTATTTAATGATCTTTCAGCTGGTCTCTTGCACTTATGCAACCAAATCATGACACTATTCCAGATTAAGTTGCTCTCCTGGGCACTATTTAAATTACTTTCTGCAACCCTCATGATGTAGATTGACACAGAGTTTTTTCTTTTTCGACTGTGGCCATCCTGGTTTTCTTCAAATTGGATACACAAGGAGAATTGTGTAAGACCTTGTAATTATATCTGTAAACGTAAAGCATGGCTTTCTTGATTGATCCATTCTACTTCTAACTTGCTCTTCTTAGGTATATGCAAATGGGATTCGTAACATTGATTTACACTTCATAATCCGTAAACTGGCAGCACCCGTAATCTCCGTTCTGTTACTTTCACTGTGTGTACCATACATCATAGCTTCTGGTGTTGTACCTTTATTAGGTATGTATACATTCAGAATACCTCTTTATCATCTGGTGGTTTAGAGCAATGTACATATATCTGGAAATAAAATGTCAAGCTCTAAGTTACTTAAAAAAGCCCAAACAACCAAAAACCAATTAACTATTCTGCCAGCAAATGTAAATGCTTAAAGATTGCTATTTCATCTTAAAAGTTGGGGATTTTTTGAGAAATGCAATACATTGTTCTGACTGGCTTTATATTAAACTAAATGCAGAATACGTCAGTGGTACGGGACTACATAATATCTAACAGCAGTAATGTAGGTATCTAGCTAGTCTGGGAAAGGGGTGATTAATTAGTTTCTTCTTTGGACAATGAACATTTAATTTTAGTCTCAAAGAGCTATACTGCGCTGAGGACATCTTTTCTGAATTGTCACATTCTAGAGGAAGCAAATATAGGGGTTTGGGTTTTTTTAGACTTTTCTATATTCATAACTGAAGGAACTAATTTTATTAGAAGCAGGGTAGATGTGCTTTTTTCATCAACAGTTGTCTTTTGCTAGTTAGTTTTCATATTAACAATATGTTCAAGAAGTCCTGTTTTATTCCTCGACCTCTTACGTTAATGTGGACTTCTATGGTGTCAACTTTTTTCTGATGTGAGCTATACAGAAATCTGTAAGTAAGAGGAGCTGATAAGCCCAATTTTTTTACTGTGGATTTTCACTGTGTTAATGGAAAACTTTCAACTTTAATGCTTCAGATGAAGAAAAAATAAACAGCAGCTGTCATGTTGGATCTATGAGAAACTGATGTGTTTTTATTTCATAGTCCTACTGAAGCTACAGTATAACAGAAAGCATAGAAGCAGGTACAGAGCAGAAATGCATGTGTTACTTTAGCAGTGTTAGATTATGTGAGAGTTTTGTCTTGTTTTGTAGGAGTTACTGCTGAAATGCAAAACCTAGTACAGCGACGGATTTATCCTTTTCTGCTTATGGTAGTGGTTTTGATGGGAATTCTGTCCTTCCAAGTCCGCCAGTTCAAGCGCCTTTATGAACATATTAAAAATGACAAGTAAGTATATAGCGTGGGTGTTTTTCCACTCTAAATTGTGATAACTTCAGATTTAATTCAGGAGTTGTAGATACTTAGGTCTAAAAAGAATCTTAAGAAGCTTTCTAGACTAATGACCCTCTGAGGCACACCTAAACTCTTCTTGCCAAATGTGTATCTGTGGTTCAGGTAAATAAACACAGGAACAGACTGTCTTTATAAATGTCAGACACCTCCCCTATGTCTAACTTGAATGCATTTTATCACAAAACAAGCTGATTGCTTGTTTGTCTCCCCCTCTGTCATCTTGAATGACAAGTGAATGTAATAATTATGATGTATCTGAAATTAAAACCATGTCTCACTGCAGCTTATAAAACCATTTCTCCAACTTTGTCTGCATAACCGTTTTTCTTATTCTTTCTACTCATTAGTCCAATTAACCTGCAAAGGAACATTCAGTTGATTTGATAGAGTTTGTCCTTACCAAATCTTCTACTGTTTTCTGATGTTTTCAGTAATTATTACTATGTATTACTCAGATACATGATATTAATTTTACCAGTGTTTTTTCTGGTTCTCTGGCTTAATTTCTAGGGTCTTTTTGTGTTATCCTTAGTACCTGATTTTTTGTTATCCTAATTACCTTATGTGTTGGTTATTTAGAAAAACAAGGTTTGGATCCCAGCAACTAGTCTTCCTAGGCGGCTTTTGTATTGAAAAGGAATAAATAAGTTTGTTGTGTTCATATCCTGAGTTACCCTAGAACAGTTTTGCTTTCCACTGACTATAAAAGGAGTCAAACCTAAAATAAACTTCTTTGAATCTTAAATGATAGATGACTGATACATTAAGTGTTGGCTGTAAATGTGAAATTAATAGTATCTACAACTATTAAGAGAGTTGTAACAAAAATGAAACTCTGAGCAGATAAATTTATATTTTAGCACCTTTTATGTGATCAGCTGATTTTAAATCCTGTTCCCCACCTGCCTTCATAACATATTCTGTAGTATTTGGCCTACTGTAGTAAGTATAGCTGGTAAATATTTATGTTTACAAATGGGGTTTGAGCTAGATGTTAGTATCTTTCAGGCAGAATGTGTATTGAATAGCAACTTGTATTAATGTTTTAAGTTGATTTCTTGTGTAAATAAGGCATGTAAACAGTATACAAAGCTGTAAAAATATATCTAAGTGAAAATTACTTTGATATTAAATAAGTTTATTAAATGTTAAAACCATCCTTGTAGACAAGAAGTTTGGACAACTTAATTATCTCATTTCAGGAATTAAGCAAGCATAGTCATGCCAGCCAGTAGAGATTTATGGTTTAGAAATACACTTAATTAAATCTTCCATGTTACAAATTTCAAAAGCATATACAAGTTCTTGTGACCTTCTAAAATGTACAAAAGTATGTGATGTTGTTTGGTTATGGTACTGTGAGAAAAGGACCCGTGGTGAAAAAGTCTCAAAAGGAGATGGAAGGTTTCAGGGAAAGAATTTATAGGTATATTATGGCTCATCTACAGGTAGAACCAGAATACAAATAGGAAGCTAGGGAAGGAATTTAGATTGCAAGAAAGTGTGAATCAATGATATAGAGGAAGTAAGGAATAATGTGAAAGGTAAGAAAACTGCTAAACTGATGAGATGGTGAGATGTTGAAACAGAATTTAAATAAAGGAATCTTGCAGCCCTTAGGCTATCTTCTCTCCCTTTAAGAAAGATTGAGCTGCAGTAAAAGTTCTTACTTTACAATATTTACTCTTTTCACTCAGGGTGTTTTTCATTTGATATGTGAGCTGAGCCTCTTACTCTTGCCCAATGCATGTGCTACATAGTGGCAGATTCCTTTTTGGATGTAAAACCTCATTAGCACTCTTAATTGGTTTTATGTCTGAGTTGTTCCAGATGTTCAAGTGGCAGTAGCTCAGACAGATGCTGCAACGAAGATGCTCTCAAAAGTATCATGCAGCAAAAGGGCTGGGTATATAAATAATGCAAACACACTCTATATTTCATATCTTTATTCAGATTATGCTGGAATTGTATGACTACCAAAGTCAAACAATGAGACAGCTACTTCTGCAGCAGAGTGAATTTGTGTTACAGAATTGTATTAACTTTTGTTAATTTCTCACTGTTTTTATTATAATCCCAGGTACCTTGTTGGTCAGCGACTTGTGAACTACGAACGAAAGTCTGGTAAACAAGGCACATCAACAACTCCACCTCAGTCTTCACAAGAATAGATGGTCATATTAAACATCGTGACCTTCCCTTTGCCTTTATGTGTCCTTTTTTCATAGACTCTTCTTCAGTCTTTGGATATCTCTCCCAATAATACTCTCAGCAGTGTTTTGGCTTCTGCTAGTAGCATCCAGATAGCATTTAAGGCTCTGATCCTTATCTGCATTTTCTGATGTTATCAATGCTGTCTGAGGTCTGTATATGTGTAAATAGAAGTATCCTCACACCCTAAAACCTTGGATTAAAAAGAATGTGCATTGTACATCTTTAAAAAAGTATATTAATTTATTAAATCTAGTTGTCACTTTATTTTGGACTGCTGTTCTGTTGACAATGTGCCACAAAGCAATAGTGCGAAGAAGCAAAATGTTTTTATAAAATTTGGAGCTTACTTTATGGTGTTCATAACAATTCTTATTGTAGTAATATAGTATGATTTTTCATGAGTGGAAAGGTCACACAGAGAATATCAAAAGTAAATAATTGTCTTACAGTCAGCAGTGAAGTGGCTGTAGTGAGAACATAATGAACTATGTATCTTGCTGTCAAGTCTTTTTTATTATTTTGTATAACACCAAAGCTGTTGTACATTTTTCTATTGCCTGATTGTTTTTCATGTGTCTGAGTTTGTAATATTGTACAGTTGCTGTTAAGTCAAGAAAATATTTCCTCTTCTGAGAATTCAGATGTAATTGTTGAGGCTCAGCTGGGTTTTTCTTTAGGGTGGGGGTGGGAGGGGAGGAAGGGGAACAGGCAGAGGTTAGCTTTGGGAATCAGGATTTCCTGAATTGAAACAGTAAGTAAAAAATTTATGGATGCTAGATGATGGAAGCATTTAAAGGTACCAAGGAAAATTAGATAGGTTCACAACTTAAATTGTAGCCAATTTCTTATCAATAATAGAATTTTTAAGGCCTTCAGGAAGAGGGAAGAACCTTATCTGATGTGTGTGCACAGAAACAAAGTGTGTAGTGTAAGCGATGTTCTGACCTGGTCCTTAATTAAAGAGCTTGAAAAGTGGGTTTTTTCCCTGTAAGTTACCAAAGTTGCATATTGTAGTATGAATTTTATATTGCACAATTACTTAAAAAAGGACCCCCAACAACAAAAAAAACCTCTTTCAGAATCGGTTGTTGAATTTTGGGGGGAATAATATTGAAGGAAGTGATTCATCACGTACCATTTATTGCCTGTGGGGCAGGGAAATATATATGCTGTTAAACAGAAAATGAAGAGTTAGCAGATTTCTTTGCAAGGACACAGTCAAATGAGCCACCAAGTCAAGTCTGTGTTACTTCCATATGTAGATAGAGTTCTTTTGCAGTAATGTTTGGGGGTTTTTATGTAGATATTTTAAAATACATAACAGTATTGCAAAGCTTTAAGTAGCATCAAATCATATGTTTAGATTGCAGTATCTTTCTTAGATTAAATGGGGGAAATGTGAATATCCATCGCAGTAACCAGAGAATTGATGGAACATTTAACTTGCTACTCGGTACACTGTCCTTCAGTATTCTGTACTTAACCATATGTGTATATAATTAACACTTGAGAATCTGGCAGGGGCTTTGAGAGTGTCATCTCCTTTTATTGATGTTGCATCTCTAATCTGACATGATTTGAGTTAATGTGGTCCAGGCTGTGGTGGTGGTATTTCACTTTTTGGTGTCTGGACTCATGTTCTAAGGCGGTGAGCACAAGCTAAATGCATCTGAATCTAGTGGCAGAAGGATTGGGCTGTCACTGTCAGAAGGTCAGAAACTACTATTTTACAGAATTTCTGTTGTCCTGATGGTTTTGAACCACAAATAGTACCCTTTGGAGTGATTTATTAGGAAATTTCCAGTGAAATCATAGAAAAATAACCAAAATATTTCTCTCATTCACTGTTGCTGACTAAATACTAAAGTGAGTATTCGCCCCATATATTTTTGATGTGCATAAATAATTGCATTTGACTGTTTACAGTGGTGTACATTGTGGGACAGATATTTTTTCACGATATTAAATTCACTGGTAACATACATTATTACTTATGACAAGATTCTGTCTTTGACATATATTTCGTAAACAGTTCCAAAATGGCCTTTGCCACTCAAATATTGCAAGCACTACTGTGCATCATGCAGAATTTGCAGTAGTATGGTTCTTGTAGCCTTGTGTTTTTATCCAGACAAACTGGTCTTAACATTAAATTTTATTAAGAAAAAGCCTTTGTGCTGTTTCTTATTGCTAGTTTACAAGTCATGACAGAAAAAAATTGAATCAGGGCAGTCATGTAATGTGAACTGTAGCTATTTTAATGTAGCTTACATTATCTGTTTCATTCTTTGTTATGGAGAACTGGTTTCAAATCAAACTGTTGTGTTTGCTTTTGCACTGCTTTATAGATCCCAGGTGAAGTTTGTTTCTGAAACTGCCCATTGTGAATTTTTAGAAAAATCTCATCTCCTTATCTTCTTATTTTTACATGTGTTTTGGGAAAGAAAATGGGGGTTGTATAGAACAAGAATCAAATAACACTACTTTTTTATTGTTTTAAATTTTAATAGTTTGCCTTGTTGTGCTGTGTGTACTCCTCTGGGATAGAAACTTGATAGTAAGCATGTAAGTTAACTGCCTGTTACTAAGACAGCTGACGAGCTCTGTACCAGTGGCTCCCATCTGTGCTAGAACAATACAGCATGCAGTGGTCTTGTATTACTCTTCAAGTGGGAAAGATTCTGTGTGGGTGCTTTCAGCACAATTTGTGTTGACCTTGGGTTTCGAATGGAGGGGTAGGAGATGCGTATTGGCTTCACTGTATCCCCTTTGTGGTGTTGAATCTAATGCTGTCGTTAATTCTGCAGGCCTTCATCCAACAACTGTCAGATGGCTCTGTAGCTATCTCTTGCATGCTGAAAGAAGTTAATTGCAGCATGGCTTTGACTGTTTTTACACAGATTATTTTATATGGATTAAAAATAGTTAAAACTCTGCATCCTTTCTCTGCTCCCCCTTCTCCACTGGGTAAAGCCTAAGTTACTTGTTTTTCTTTCTGAGGGCCCTCTGGAACCTATAACTATTTTCTGTGAGTAACTTCCTGGGTAAGGTGCCAATTCCAACACCAATTACAGTATTCACATCACTTCAGCTGAGTGTGTTAACTCCTTCCTTGCTTTCCCCTAAGCTTGAACAAAGGTGTCTAAAAAATCTGCACAGCAGCCCCACTATTTTTTTAGAGGACTCTAAAATACCCTTTACCTTACAAAGCAAAAATTACTTGTCTGGTGACTCCAGTGCCTGGCATGCTAATCAGTGTCATTCTGTTTCCTCGGCTGTCTGTTTATATCTGGATTGGAAATTGTGCCAGGGTCATTGTTGTTCTTCTGCTTGCCTTGTGAGCAGGCACTGTGCAGCCGGAGCAATGAGTGGGGTTCTTGGCAGAAATGATAGTACACATAGTAAAAATGTTAAACAGGGAACTGAATCTTGGTAGTATAATAAAGTTCAGGATGCAGAAAAAGCTATCTTCTGAAACAGATAAGGAAACAACCTTTACAAAGCATAATGGTAAATTAAATCTCTCTTGATATTTCAGTTCTTAATTAGATTAACTAGAACTAAAGAATTGCATAGTTAACAGCAATTTTACTAAGTCTATTAATATTCCAGACAAGATATGCTTCTTTTGCCTAATTTTAAATTGAGAAATGATATGCGAAAATCAAAGTTACTCAATAATGGAAATTTTTGGAAGTTGGTATTTCCAGAGGTCAAATACTGTCCAAAATAGATTGAATGTCTTGAATTCAATATAATACGGAGGGATGGAGCAATGGGAAGATAATTTCACAACTCTGCATATCAGTTTCTCTGCTTAAATGGTTGCTTGCTGTTACCTCTTGTTGAGTAGTGGTCAGTGCCAAAGCTGCATAGGTGGTTGGTTTTTCCCCTGTATAATGAAAAATCAAACATCTAGAGTTGTCTGATATTGTGGGGGTGGGGGCATTTAACCTTACTTGTCTGTATCACTTGGCTTTAGAAGACTGTGTTTCTGTTCCTGGAAAATGACTCTACTTTTACTTAGAAGAGACTTCCTTGTTGCTTACAAAACCAGAGAACACTGCAAAGCTCATTATTTATTTATATTGAATGGAATTTATGTATCAGAACCTGAATAGTGAAGATCCTCATTGGTGTGCCATGTTCAGCAGGTGCCAAGTGTGTAAAGGCCTGATGAAATTCAGTAAAAAAATGTGCTGAATCTAAAATCTGCTGCATTGGAATGGAGTATACGTGAGATATTTCGGCTAGTTGTGACCAGGGGTCATAGAAGCAAGAAGCAGCAGCAGAATTTTGAAGCTGAAATGAGACAATGCCACTATAAAGCAATAACTATGTCCATGGATATACTTTGAAATGCTGTTTAACGGAGTAATCTGTAAAATGCATGGGGGGTGGGGGGGATACAGCACTCGGTGTCTAAGAAGAATCTGAGTTATTTCTTTCACTGAAGCTACACTTGTAGTACCTGTGTCTTCACAGAGTTTGATCAGCTTTTTCTTAACATATTGTCTAGGCCTTACTACCTTTCTGACTTTGGGCCAAGTTTCTTATGATCCATCAGCATCCCTTTCACTGTGCCTTTCTGTGATCTCTCTTCCTCATTGAAAGGGATTTGTCAACCTAACAGCCACATTACTTACCTGTGTAATCCTGAGTTTCTTAAACAGCCTTGCATTAACCTGTGTATAACTAACAACTGTTGTCACACCATCAGTGATTGAAACCAAAGCTGAAGACTCCCTCACTCACCTACTTCTTGCTCTTAACTTTATTCACCAACTATCTCAGAGGTTATTGTTATGCTTCGTCTTCTCCCTTCTATATCCATGAATTTCAGTAATCTTTAAGCAGATGTTTTAGTGTAATTGTATGTGAAAAGTGCGCAACTTGTAGCTAAAAGTTAGTTCCCTGAAGTATAAATGACTTCTTAAAAGGGACTCAATATCCCAATATGCCAGAGTTAAAACAATATGTGTAATTATGCACATGGTTTGTGTGCTGTTAATACAGGAATATTGAGTAGAAAACATGCAGTACATCTGGTTCTGCTTATAAATCAGGAGACTGTGTAATAAGGATGATCGTAATTCATGTAACTGCGGGTTTTTGTCACCCCATCCCAATCCATCCGGTTGTGTGTGTCCATCCTTCTCCCCTCCACCCTCAGTTAAATACACGATCATCTCCAGCCAGTTGGGGTCAAAGGAGAGAGGACAACAGTGCACATGCTCCTCTTTCTGTGAAGAGCAATCAGCATATTCTCCAGAGGGGTTTTTATTACTGGATGCAGTATCTCTTGTTAGTTTTTGTTGCATGTAAGCATTTAGGTTAATTTAATCATGTCTTTATAGATCAAGCATGTTCTGGAGCAGCATGTGATCAATTTGTTTTTCACTCTTATATGGAAGTACTAGCCTTTTGCTTTTTCCACCAGTTTACAATTTGTATAACATTAAGAATACAGGTTTTTTGTAAAATACGCATAGAAAAACTTTCCACCTACATGCTGCTTTTTCTCATAATATGGTCTAGCAGCTTTATTCATGACTTCACTGCACTGGATCAAATATCTGAAAGAATTGAGGGTATGGCATTTATTTTTGACCATTTTTAGGATAGTTCCTAGTGTGTTTAAAGACTGAAGATGGAAGAGATATGACACTTCTGCTGTTTAACTGATCCCTAAACCCCTTTGAAAAACTGAATTGTGAAATTAATTTAATTAGATTCCATTCTGTAAACCCCTGCAGGATAATGTTTGGTACAGATATTTTTTTGCTGTAGTGTTCCTAATTGCTTTAAAGTATCTACCCATTTAAAGAACAGGTATGTCATGATGTCAAAAGTTTGCTGTTTTCGTGTAGTTGCAGGACTACATTAAATACTTGGCCTGTACCAGAGTATTCATGTTTTCTGGAAGATTAAGCAGTTCTTAAAATGTGTGCTTTTTGTTTTCCAGACACCACCATTCTATCTTTGTCCTGCATGTTCATCTTTGGGGATATAACGTGGATTAAGAAGGGCTGGCTTCAGATAAGGTTGTGTTCTTTTTCAGTAACTGGCCTGTTTTAAGCATGTGGCACTAAAGTTTCTTAGAAGCAATGGCTTGTGAAGGCTTTCTGAAGTCAATAATCCTATTGCCAAATTCACTGGAGTGCTTGGGCTACTTCCAGCTGTGTCAGAAGAGACAGGAGGAGCGTTGCTTTATAATCAAGAGATGTGCTGGTGTCTACAGAGGATGGCATTCAGGTTATCTCCAGTGCTGTTTTTATCAGCAATGGAAATAGCAGAGGTCTTGTAGTCCTCCACCAAAACTTTGAGGCAGAGAGGGCCCTTTAGCACCTTGCTGTCCCAGAGCAGGGGGACAGCCCCCGCTGCCTCGTCAGCAGGTGTGCCAGGTTTGGAGCAGTGGGTGCTGAGGAGCAGCTGGCACTGGCCCTACTGTGCTTGGCAGGGCAGCCCAGGCTGCCAGCGGCATTGCTGAGGCCGAGGCACCAGGCCGGTGCTTGTGGCCGAGCCTGCCCTTTGAAGCAGCAGCCTCGGGTAAGTAACGGGAGTTACAGGAGGCAATACGTTACCCTGTTTTGGCAGCTCAGGCAGTGTTTGTTCCCCTCGTATCCGAGCCTGGGAAGGAGGTAGGAGAGAGCCGAAGCCAAAAGGGATGTGCCACACTACTGCTGCTCCCCAGGCAGTGCAGCATCCTGGCCGGGGGACACGCTGGGGGAGCCGGGGGGGCCCGGAGACCCAGCGCCCCACCTCCCCGCGATGGGCTCTGCCGCTGACTTAGCGCTGAGATGCTTCACGTTTTGTCAGAGGTTTGTAGAAAACGGGTGTTGCTCTTGTATTTCCAGCAACGTTGGCTCTTCCCCCGCCGGGCCCCCGCCTTCCCCGTTAAGCACCCGGGCGGCCTCCCGCCCCTCCCGCGTTG